AATGCGTTGGATGGACACGCAGTCATTGTGTGAATTTCTGGAATTATCTGGACACGTATCCGGAACAAATCTTGGAATTATTATGTTTCACCTGTTTTTCTGCTGAATTTCTGGAATTATCTGGAACATAATAAAGTTGTCTAGGTTAAGGTTTGCCAAAAAGCTAGACTATTTCAAGATTTTAGTCCATATGATTGATGACAAATAGCATCAGACGTTCTTTAAATAACGTTTATCAAATCTTTATTTCAACAATTCGGATCCTTTTTTGCCACTTTTTTTTTTTTTTGTTTATGGCGTTGGTTTTTGCAGTGGTGTTCCTTGTATCATTGTGAACAAAGACGTCCTCTGAAGTTTGCCTTTCTTGGTCATTTCTCACTATGATGCCTTGGCGTGACTATTGAAATTGCCTTTGCAAACATCCAAGGTATATGGTACCATACATCATATGTTTTTGTTGCTTGTTTAGTTCACGGTCATGATTTCTTTCACTTCCCAACTGCTATTCAGGGATTCTGCAAGAAAAATTATGCCTAAAGCTTCGCCTTGAAGCTACTAGTTGCTTATAACCTTATTTCATTCACTATTCCAGTGACCTAAAATTGAGGATCACATGTGTTTAAATAATGCCACCATCACATATTATGAATTAAAAATAAATGGAAGTGGTATTAGGCAACTAAAAAGTTAATCAGGGGTGCCTCATAAGAGAAAAATCCGAAAGTGTCTACTTAAATTTACGGGAAGATATTGAGAAATAAATTCAAAGATATAGATTTTCTTCTCAAAGCCACCAACTCTTCAGCAGGATCGTCACCTGAAGATGATAATCCCGTAAAATGCAACATTACGGTTTTGTCTCCTGTCCGAACCGAAAAACAAGCTTAAAGACCATATCTGTGCCGCACAGTTGTTGAGCTCGGTGTAGATTTTACATAGCCTCAAAATCTTTACCCATAACGACCAAAAACACGCATCAGTCCCTTTAGTTATGACTCCACTAGAATGTGTGGATATTGTGTATGGCGTTTACTTTAAAACTGAGAGTTTTATACAGAAAAAGATGATATAAAAAGTAAGCTACTGTGATAAGAGTAGACATCTCAAAGTTACACAGTGAAACATGCAAAAAAATAGCCTACGATGTGTGTAGAAATATAATCATGATTATATATGCCAACCCAAAGGCTGATATCATCTTCAATTGGCTAATAATTTATGGCAATACCCAGGCTTGAGATATCATATTACATCTAAAATACAATCTCCGTACTATGCATTAAGTTTATCTTCTATCATGTGACTTTGCTCACTATTATCAACATTTCGTTTGTAACCTCTAAGAATGTAAATTGAGTTGTGAGCAGTAACGAAAGTGGAAGCAAGAGATGTAAAATAGAGGAACAAGACATTAGTGGGGCTGCATTATTGATACCACGAATTAGACCAATTGAGACCTAGGCAGGATTCTCTTAATCGGTCAACATAATTTTAATAAAAGATCCAAAGGTGAAATGACTCGACTATTTTGGAAACTAGAATAAGTCAACTTGTGGGAGAGAGTTAAACCTTTCTACATTTCATGTCGATCGGGACAATGGGTCAGTAACCATTAATTGAAAGAATGGGAAGTTCAAGTGTCACCTGTTAAAGAGGTTTACATGGTTTGACTCTTATGGGTGGAGCTTAAGTAGTTAAAATATGTCTATTTGGGGTAACCTATTTATTGCACTCTGACCAGGTTTATGATGTAATCAGTTATCTCACACGCATCATGTATAGAGAGGTGGTAGTGAGGGGAAATCTTGCATAATTTCTTTAAGATAATGTCAAAAGCAGGGACAATAGTAGCCATATCACATATGCTCTAATTTTCCATGCCAATCTATTGGATAATATAAAATCTACACATTCGCATTCGAATTTTATCTTATATGCATGCTTCATATACCTCATAAAAATATTGACTGTATGCAATAATCAAGTTGGCTACAAGTTTAAATTTTGTGATAAAAACATTTGAATATTTGAATTTAATGTTTTCACGCAACTTATAACATAAACAGAACAGTACAACCATTACATAAACATGAAAGCATCTCTGAAACTTATATGGCAGCATCTCAACTCCATGCTAAACTAAGCAACCAAGATGTAAATCTAGCATCGATAACAAGATCAAATCAAAGAAACATTAATCTCCCAATTGTCTTCCATTAAACTCCAATTCTCACGATAGCTGGGCTGGTCACATAATGGGTACTACCCTCCTATTTCAACATAATCTTATTGAACATAAAAGAAATTCAAACATTACCTTATACAGCAACCCAACCAATGAAAACGGCTAAAAGCTCAGGGTTTTGATGATGGAACTAGCCTGTGTTGGGAATGGGTAGATATTCTCAACTAAATGATAACAAAAGAGTCAGGTTAAAGAGTGCTGACTAACTGTATAATGGGCAGGTTGTTGGGCTGTGGGAGAGGGAACAGAGGACGCTCATTGTCTCTGTGAGAGCCCAAGAAATACAGCTGCAGAAGATATCTGAACTTGAAGATCAGCAATATCAACGTCATGGCCGCCTTCGACCAGGCCCCATCTGTCAACCTGTCATGGAAATCCCGAAGAAAGGTCAGGAATGCCAACCAGAAACTAGTGTCCAAGCTAGCTAAACATTGTAAGTTCATGAGACGCCTGATAAGAACCTGTAAATCTTCCTCGAGCCTAATCAGTTTTATGGCCTCCTGAATGTCCAATCTCCCACGAACAATCCCAAGGGGGATGACCAGAGAGTGTGCAGCAGCCGCCAGAGCATCAATGACCGCCAGCTCGCAGTCTGTTGTAGTCTTCAGCATGTTTTCAATGGCCCCAACAAGACCATCTCCCTGCTTTCCTCCAAAGAAACAAGAATGCACCACTGGCTTGAACCCAAACTCTGACTCCAACCATTCTAGAAGAGGGTCAAGGTTCTCAATTTGCTTTTCTGCACACAGTTAAAGGTACAGGTGAGGAAGGAAGGGAGGGCTCATTAAATTAATCAAAACCTGAGGATATTGTAGAAACTCTCACTCAGATGGGAAAACATTCAAGCCCAAACCTCCACATTGGATTCTCACAAAACCCTCTCCTATGGGATTCTACAAAGTAACATGATTCCTCAATCTATGACGAAGAGATTTATGCTCTCCTCATCAGAAACTACTGGATGTGGTTCTAAATACTTCTCTTCATTAAATCGCAGTTCATTGATCGTCTAATATGTGTATTCTTGAATCAGATACAAAAATGTCCCTTACTTCTTAATAAATAAATGGGGGGTTTCGGGTCAAGCTAAAACAAGTTTCATCACGAGGCAACGGTTCTCAAATCTAGAAGATCTGTCAACATTCTCAACTACCCGCACTGGGAGTGGCAGTTTGTTGAGGTCCAGGAAGCCCGGGCCCAAGATTGTGGGGAAGGGTTGCCAGTTTGTTGAGTAAGTGGCTGCAGAGTGTTGATACAGGATTTATTGCTGGAAAGGGATTGCACTATGTGCATAACTCCAGCCCAGCAGTATGTTTGGCCTATCCCAGTGCAACTCTGCAGAGCCTCGGTCAAGTGTTTGCTGCTGGTTTGGGCCCACCAGAAAGTTGCAAACAACTGAGCGGTTGATGAAAGAAATCCTGAATCTATTGTGAGCTAAATTTCGAGGCCAAAGTCAAGAAACATTAGAACAGATGACCAGCCCAGCCCGTAGTGAAAGCACCATATTCAGTGGAGGAATTTGAATAAAGTAAAGCTGATTGAGCACAAAAAATTAATAACAGAAGACATCTTCAAAGATTGGCGTCCACAAATGCTAAGGGTCGAGTTGCTTCCCAATGGCTTTCTATCTATGCGGCTCAGAAATTCTGAGGAATGATCTTATGAAAGAATGGAATTCCTTAAAGTATTGGTCTCCATTTAGAAATTCACTATCACACTTTTTGTTCTCGCCTCCAGGGAAAAACTTGATCTATTGAGCCGTTCAAATCAAGCCTACAACACTATCATAATACTAGAATTGAAGACACTCCACGTGGTGGAGGATAAAATTGGGCACTGCAGCCCATCAGCCTTCAGATTACGAAGACCCACCCAAGGCATCTTCATGCTTGCCTATGTGGCAGTCCATCAGAGAAAGGGAATGCCTTTGGTTTCAAAAATCTAGTTTCAAAAAGCCTGTCAGAGAGTGGATTGGATATGTTCAAAGAAAGCTTTTCAACGTTATACTTCAAGAAAACCAGCATCCCTCATTATTTACTTATGGCTGGCCAAACTGAACCTCCAACATGACAACCCGCACTTCAGAGTTGCTAAAACCCGTCATTACTCATGCTTGACCTAAAATGATAGCCCGACCATAGAACTCCGCAGGACTAGCATTGGGATCAAATTGACTTTCAGGAATCGCAAGTAAGAATAAGTTTGCGCAATTATATGGACCTAAGAATTTAATTAGCCAAGTTTTCAACCAGTCCCCTGAGAATACATATAAAAAATCAGATCATCTCCCTCCATCTTTATTGTTAAGCCAACAGGGTGGTGCCAACCTCTCTAAAATGATTCTTCATCAAGAACAAATTCTAGTTTAGATCCTATGTACAACAGAGAATGTCTATACAAAGAAAGGTTATCCTCACAGAAGAGGATTATTGAAGAAGAAAAGTTATCCACAAATGTTTCAGATTTAAATCTACCTCTATATGTGTTCAGCATCGGTAATCTATGATCTCACACCTACTTCAGGTTCAGACCATAAATCTGATTCCAAGAAGAGATCACTTCATGTTACGTCTGATTTTTCGTTTACGATACCTAAATTTAATATATTCATCTCTTACCATAGTCCAACCCCGTTTTCTCCTTTCCATTCTATCTGTCAATTATTTGAAAAATGATGGCTATGAGTTTCAGCAGGGATTCTACCTGGGCTAGTTTGTGTCCCTAAACTAACTGAAAGAGCTTTCCAGACTTATCATTTATTGCTGCTGACCTTGAAAATTTTCTGAAATAACCATTAAATAATTGCTTTTCCATTTTCCGTTAAATCTAATGATATATTTTCATTTCCATCTATATTATCTGATTTTTAACAGTAGACAGAATCTCTGATTGTAGCCATTGCCTTCATTTCGGATTTTGTTCTATACTTAAGAGTGGAATCTTAAGGCTACATCGTCATCATCCAGGAAAGGATATTAAAACTTTCTTAGGAATAACCCAAAAGCATTCTAATATGAAGAATGGAATAATTCATTTGTACCTCAAATGCGTCAGTTAAGCGTTTCAAACATGATTCTGGACTCCCAATTCACAGTCTATGGAACAGAGTGGACAGGGCTTCTGTTTCAGGGCAGATGAAGGAGATGCTTCAAATTCCCAATTCTTCAAGGTGAGACACTAACGCGAGTCAAAGCCCAAACACGGAAGAAACCAGATCAGTTGGATGGCATACCAAGAACTCCACGGGTTAAATCGCTGTCCCCTGGTGATCGGCAAAATACAAGGTCCTGGTGGAATTTCTTCATCAAATGCTCGATAATCTTCGCACGGGTGAGCGGAACTCTCTCCAGGGCTGTGCAAACAAGCTTCATCAGAGGCATCGTGAAGGGTCTGATTCCATCTGCTTGCTACCCAGAGAAGAGACAAGCCTCGTTACTAACGATCTTTAACACGGCCTGAGCCCCACCGAAGGATCTTGACCAGTTGAATTTCATGACCGCTAAAATTACACAACAGAGAAGACAGCAAAAGAAGACCGCAATGAGGAAAAGATAGAGAGAGGGGGACGTGAAAGGCTCACCTGATACTCCCACTCGGCGGCGATCGCCTTGGCGAGGGCGAGGCTTGGGATCTTGAGCGGTCTCCTGGATGGCGACTTAAGGGTGCGATAGTCGAGCATCACTGTCCACCCATTGCCGTCGTCGGCCATCCGGGTGGTCACCTCCTCGTAGAACCGCTTCCCGACGATCGACCCCGTCATGAACGACATGGGCATCGTCACGGAGGTCTTGTCCCGCGTCGCGCGGCTGCTGTTGCCGCCCGGCCGCTTCAAGTATATCTTCTCGTCCTCATCCTTCACGCGGACCTTACCACCATCGCTCTCATCCTTCCCCCCGCCATCATCCCCGGCGAGGCCAGGGGCAGCGAACTGGGGCTCCACTTCCTCCCCGGCGACAGTGGCCATTGGAAATCGGCCATGGCCGTCGGTAATCGACTTCCGGAGGACGATCGTGGGACTCAGGCACCGTCGCAGTAGCCTCGCCGGAGCCGCCATGGTCATCACTCCCTTCCCTTCACCACCTCCCCCTTCTCTTCCTTTTTCCGCGGCTCCAGTGAGGACCAAGTCGCTGCCGATCACTGCGATCCAACGGCTATCCGGGAGAGAAAAGTTTTGCAGAAAAGTCCCTACTTGAGTATAGGACGGGCTTTTGGGGATGTCGATTAGGGTAGGGCATTAGGGTGAGTCTGAATAGTCTTAAAAAGTTGTAAAAGATCGAGACGTCCTCCTCTTCACAGACTAAAGATGAACTCTTGGGCATTAGGGTTTCTGTTCAGAGAGCAAGCTTTAGAGCTTGGATGCTGATTATTCATGGTATTTAGTTGTGGCCTCTTGATCTCATGTTATTGTTCTAAGAATCTCAAAGGAATACTAGCCATCATGTGAATAGACAGAAGGCATACCATCACTAGAATGAAAATTATCCTTTCATATGTATGCAACTCGATTGTGCTAACCGATGCAGAGTATTTATCCCATCCTTATGAATTGATAAGAGTGCCTTTTATAATGTGATTGCTTCAAAAAATCCCATCAGACTCCCTAGCATAGCGATGGCTCTTAGCAGCCCACATAGTTCTAATTAATTTACTGTGTTTTTTGGACTTGAAATAGGTACAAGGAGGAGTTTATTCCCATTATCAATTTCTCTGTTGTTGGTCCCTTGTCGGTTATTAACGTATACCATTTGATGAACTCCCCAGCAACAGGTTTTTCTTTTTCTTTTTCTTTTCTCCAGACAACTTGTTCTTGCGGTTGAACGGTTGATTGTTTGGAGTCCAGACTTTGAGTTTTAGAGCAATAACTTGGAGATTGTTCGCTAAGTCTGCTGGACAGTTCTTATACAATGATAATATTAGAGGGCTCAAGAAGGCTAGACTTGACGAGAGTCCCCTAGTTATTCTTACTCTGGGGGATTGGATTTTCTTGCTTGGAGTGGTGAGTTTTTGAGCTTGACTACTTGACCTTTGAAAGTACACATGTGCTGACAAGTGATCTGTTTTCTTTAATGTACATCTCCCCGTCTATATACAGAAATGCATACATATATGTTGTGTGTGTAAATATACATATATATGCATAAATTGAGAGCGAAGAAGACCACCAATGCATGCATCCACGCGGGCTTTATGGCCTCGTCTCCCATCCTCATTAAAGAGTGGAGGGGCTCCTTCCTCTCTCTCTCTCTCTCTCCCGCTCTCCCAATCTCCCTCTCTCTATATGCCTCTCCATCACGTCGGTCTTTGAGCCGCCATTCCAGGAAAATTGAGTGCTGGGTGTCCAACGTAGCCCAAATCTCTGTCATGCACACGCGCTAGAGAGAGGGAGGGAGAGAGTCAAGAGGAGAATCACGTGGCAATAGAACGAGTCAAGAGAAGAATCATGTGGCTATAGAACTCCAAGTCAAACCGTAGGATTTTAGAGGAGCCCGGAAAATGGAATGATGGGGGGACAATGAGGATCTCTGATGGGGCAAATATCACTAGGCGTCAACTTCGTCAGAAAATTGTCCCAATAGGCTTGTAGCTCTGAAAAGGAAGGTAACCTATTTGAGTTTCTCTCTTGATTAGCGGCTTTGATTTAGTTTTCTTCGTCATCATAATTTTTGTTCAGAATTAATGACGGAAAGTTCATGAGTTTTGCCCTCGCCAAGAACACGGTTTGACTTTCTCTATTAACTAGTACTACCTTCTTCATCTGGAAGGAATTCTAGATGTACCTAAACTATCACATTTAAACACATGTAACATCAGTGTAAAAGAGTTTCTGAAGAAATGAAAAGAAGAACTTGTAGTTATCTATAAGTTTGAGAGTGCTTGGCAAATCTAAAAGAGAGCTTCTTCCTCATTTTGCCCTTCTCCCCTGCCGAAATTCCGATCTGCCTCTACCACTGTGTTGATCTTTTCCTTGGATTAAATTGTTTAATCTATATGCACTAGGCCAAAGTTTATTGTGGGTTTGGATATGTATATTTTTACTCTCCTTAATGGGCTAACAATACACCTTTGGCAATTCTCCCCTCTCTTCAACCAAAGCCATACAATCACACCCCAATTTAATGGTATCTCCTTAGCCATCACAGTTTTTTTGTTTAATCATATGACCAGACTTTCATGCGAATTGTTTTATGCTTAAGGCGCTGTATTTAGTGATTTTCTAGATGACCCATGAACAAGTATAGTTAGAATTCTTTTTTTGGGCTGATATCCTCTTTGGAGCTTTATCTTGCATATGCATAATTGGGCTCTTTGCATGCCAATTAATAACACACAAAGACAGGCGCTGGATAAGAAGATTGAAAGACAAAATACCTATCATTGGGCAATTTTGAAAAAATCAGCTAGTAAGGAAATAGATTGCAATGGGTAAGCAAAGTTCATCAAATTAAGACTCATCTTAGATAAGTATCAAGCCAGGCTGGCTCTAGTATAGTTTCCTTTCGGATTTTGTCTTCACTCTTCATGGGAAACATTGATAATGATGCTACCAAAGAATCAGCATACTTGACTCATTTACACTCTTATTCACAAATCTGAAGTTCATTGGATGAAACACTTGGTATTTTGAGCAATTTAGTTGCCCATGCTTGACTCCCTTGCTTGCTTGAGCCAACATTCACTGACTTTGAGCGAATAATCTTCCAATGTTGAAAAAAATCAATGCTGTGTAACATTGTAGGTTCAGATTAATCCGAATTACTGGCTAATGTCTATACTAACTCACAATATAATGCAAGTATAATTTTGCTAGTTATCTCTACAAGGGAGGACTTGCTTCATAGGTATTCAGGCCATTCCTCATTTTCTAGGCTCCTCCCTTTGGCTAGATGGGTGTAAAAGATATCAACTCAGATTAAAATAAATATTTGTATAAAACAGAAATCTTAATTAGGCCAAGTTTAGCCTAGAGAGAGAAAATAAGCTAACAGCCTCTTCAATCCCAGACTAAACCCATGCCCCAACCTCAGTTGTATCACCTTTTCGGCCTAAATAATCTATCTGCTCTTGCGGTCAAGAAAAAAAGAATCATTTTTTAAAAATTCATTTCACTATTTTTCCAATAATTTTTTTGATGGATTCTTCGAATTGAAGCTTCTACAGTATTTCCTATCGACAAGTCTACTTTTTACATTAACTCAGATGTGACTATTTACCAATGCACGTCATATGTAATATGACATTTTATTTGTCTTGAAAGAAATTTAAGTAGGTGAAGGGCAGAACGGGGCATCAGTTACAATATTATACTAAACTTTCCACTCCATCTAATTAAAGCGCAGAAATTATGAATATAATTTTTTACCTTGTCTATTTTACTGTAAAAATAATCATAGACATCACTCCACGTGTAATCCATGTGTGAACACGAGACGACGGCAGTCTAGATGCGACTAAATTATCCACAGCCGTACAATTAGAATTATTTTTTTTGCAGAAATGAGTTGTCAACTATTTGTCTCTCCCACCAACTTTGAAATTGACACCCACCAAACGGACGAAAAAAAAAACCCCGTAACAAAAGAGTCGGCAGAGGGGAGAGTGAGTTTAGCTTTTACGAGACCCACTGAAAATGGACCATGAATCTGGACGCCACGGAATCCAGTCCCCAGACCAGACAGAAGTTGGGAGGGGAGTGTCTACGTTCCAGATAGATAAATAGATAGATAGATCGATAGGGAAAGGTGATAGGCAGAGACAGGCCAAAATCTAGAGAAATTTTCTAGCTTTACCCGAACCAATCTGATCTCTCTCTCTCTCTCTCTCTCCCTATCCATTTATCTATCTCTCTATGTCCGTCACCATTGATTTGTGGATGTCTATCTCTCTGTCTCTGTCTGTCTCTCCGTCTCTCTCTCTTTCTCCCTATCCATTTATCTATCTCTCTATCTCCGTCACCATTGATTTGTGGATGTCTATCTCTCTGTCTCTGTCTCTCTCTCTCTCTCTCTCTCGCTTTCTCTCTTGCCCCGACAACATTCACAGGGATACAGGCCCACTGTAAACTAATCAACCTTGCACTACCAAACCAAACCAAAACTCTGGTGCGATCCCACACACCAGACGGACTGAAAGCTCCTTACGCCTCGTCACCCGCCTCATCAACAAATACTCTACTCCCAATTTTTCAAATCATTCCTTAAATGTATGAAAAACCTCATGCGAATAATGCTTGACGGTCATCTTTCTATTAACATCTAATGAGCTTGATAGCTACGCAGTCAATTTGACCCAAGTTTCTCCGAATATGAACCGTGTGGATCTCTCTCTCTCTCTCTCTCTCTCTCTCTCTCTCTCTCTCTCTCTCTCTCTCTCTCTCATGCGTGATTGAAGACTGAATCAATTGCTTAAGAGGCAGGAAAACTCGACGAACCGCCAGGCCCATGCTTGTCCGATCCTCAACAGGCTATGAACGATACCATGAAACCTGCGAAACCCTCCCTCTTTCCCCTCTCTGTCCCTCCCCTTCTCTCTCCCCTCTCTCTTCTCTCTCTCTCTCTAATAAGTTTAGATCGATGATTGGCGTAGACCAGAGTTTTAGGACAGTCTGGCTCGGAGCCTGGCTCAGAATTTTTCTGGGACAAGTGAAACATGGAAGATATTTGATTTAGTTAATAATGCCCGGCTCCAAGTTATAGATCACGCTCACATATATAATAAACACAATACAACATATATACATGAACAAATTCGTGTGATCGAAGCAAGCAAATAACGGAGAGGACGGCGTGATTTAAAAATAACAGTGTCGGACCAGGTCGACCCCTTGGAGGTCGCCTCTCAGTCCAGGGCGTTGGCGATCTCCTTATATGTGCTGACCTTATCGGGATGAAGCGCTACTTGGACATCGACGCCCCCCTTCTCCTCGAAGGGTAAGAGGATGGCCAGACCCTCGACGGGCAGGAAGGTGAGGACCTGAACGGGGGCCCCGCCGCCGAAGTCGAGCTCGTGGTATTGGAAGCTCGGCCAGCTGTCCACCTCCATGTTGGGAGACAGCAAGTTCCCCGCCGACCGCGCCGTCTCCTCCAGCGCCACCCCGTTCTCCGCCGCCAGCGCCCCAAAGTCAACGAACGACTTGAAGTAGCAGTCGTCGACGGCGGAGACCGCCGCGTGAATGATATCGGCCACCTGGCTGTAGCACCCGTTCAACAGCTCCGCCACGGTCATTCTAGGGTAGGCCCAGAGCACAACGTTTCCGAGGTACTCCATGGGCACCCTGGGCTTCATCCGCACCTGGCCGTTGACCGCTACCCTCACCTGTGTGATCTCATCCGCTACCAGCCCGCGGGCACCTTCTTCCAGACATGCACGAGGAGACACTGGAAGGTGCTGTACAGCCGGCCGGGGTTGTCAGAGGGAAACCTGGCCATGAGCTTGGACAAGAAGTCCACGAGGTAGTGGACGACAACGTTCGTCGTCTCCATCGCCTCCGCCACCGCCGCCGTCTCCGCCAGAGCTTCCACCGCCAATTCACGGGCCGTGTCTGCTCTGAACTCGATGGCCCAGTGGTCGAACTCACACCGGGGCGAGTTCCTGGGGACAGAGATGGCTTGCCAGACGTGGTAGGGCAGGGGATCGGGATGTTGGAGTTAATCTTGCCACTGTGATCATCGCAATCCACTGAGGAGGAAGGTGTCCGACGAAAGTCCCGCCTGATCTTACGTCTTATTTCTTATTTTGAACTCCCATGTATTTCTCTCTCTATCTTCTTCCTTTGATTGTTTCAATTACAGTCGTCTGTTATGGAGTTATAACGGCTGTGATTGCTCCTGAATGGTAGTGCTTGCAATAACTACCTTAACGGTGTTACTATACAAGGTGTTCAACTTGGTCCTATAAGAGAATCAGTTTGACAACTGTTTGGTTATGCCAATTGATTTCTTCAATTTCCAGTTTCATAGATTTAGGCATTTTGTTGTTTCTCTATTTTTTTTGGGTTCTTAAGTTGTTACAAAGAGTCCTAAGGTTAGATTCTTCAGTTGGTATCAGAACGATTATGATCCAACATCGTCTCGACCATTATGGCACTATAGAAGGGAGACTCGTCATAGGATCTCATGGTAATGGGAGGATTGAAAGGAGCGAAGCAACCTATGCAGATAGGTACCATTCCAATCCTCACCAGGCTCAACTATCAAGTTTGGACATCTAGGATGCGTCTTCACCTTGAAGGCCTTGCGTTGTGGGAAGTCGTTGAGGTAGAGAACCCAATCAAGAAGAAAGATCGACAAGTGATGTCAATCTTGCTCAGCACGATCTCTAATGAGATATCGTAAGAGCTAGATGTGGAGAATATTATAAAGTAGACGTGAAATCTCTTGAAGGCAAACAACGGAGGTGTTACACACCTGCAGACGGCCTATATTCAATCACTCCGAAGAGACTACGAGAACCTCTCTATGGATGATGAGCAGTTGCTTCTTGATTATTTTGAGAAATTGTCTCGCATCATGATTGAATTAAAGAGTCTAGAAGAGAATGTTTCTAATGCAGATCTCTCTGCCAAACTACTGAGATCAGTCTAGGTAAGTTTGACTCTATTATGACCTCTATTTACTAGTTTTAGAATCTTGACACAATCTTGATAGATAAAATTCTCAGAACTCTTAAAATTCATGAGGATAAACTTCAAGATCATTCTGTCAATAAGGAGGAGATGACATTGTTGGCTCATTCTCTTGGGAAGCATAAGAAGAAGCATTCCTCTTATGGCACATAGTCAAGAGGCCAAGGAAGAGGTCACGGCAGGAGCAAAGGCCCTGGTAGAGGAAGAGACAGAAGTGTCATGAAGGTTGAAGACTCTGATGATGAAAGATTGAGTGACAAGCCAACAGTTCCCTACTACAACTGTCAAAACAAGGGCCATTATGTGAATGAATGTCATTTTCCAAAGAAGGATAGACTGAAGATGGACAAAGAAAAGGCAATTGTGGCTGAAGAAAATTCGAGTGATAGTTCTCTTCTGATGGCATTCAAAGATTGTGATGTTCTTCTACAAGGCATCTATCAATCTGATTTGAGTAATGAAATGTGGTATTTGGACACGGGAGTAACCTCTTACATGACTGGTCAGAAGACACTTCTCTTTGACTTAGATATGTCTTATAGAGGTGTTCGTTTTGGTGATGACTCACACATCCCAATTGAAGGTTGAGGTAAAATACTTCTTAATACTAAAAATGGGAGTAATGTTACCTAAATCAATGTCCTATATACTCCTTGATAGAGAGCTAATATTTTGAGTCATAGAAAACTTGATGAACAAGGTTGCAAAATTAATTTGTAAAATAGAGTTCTCACAATTCACGATCAGAGAGGTATTCTTCTGACAAAGGTAAAGAGAAATTTTAAGAAACTTTATGACATGACTTTGTCATTGTATAGTAAATCATGCAAATTTAAAATTTATAAAACTAGAAAATAAGAATTTTTAAATATTTTAAAATATTTTTGAATAAATATATTAATTATAATAATAATTTTTCAAAAATAGTGATAATTTTTCATGTCGATCAGAAAGATGTAATATAATATCAAGTAATTATTCAAAATTTTTCTCAAAGAATACTATTTTCTATGAATTTTACACTATGAAATAAAAATAAAATATATTTCAAATTTATAAAAAAATAAAATAAGGGTGCGAACATCAAGATGATGTCAACGCCTGACGAATGCGAATCGAGTAGAAATAGAGTTTTACCCGACAATTCTTACATAAATAATTATAGACAATTTAATTGATCAAATTAAGATCTGTAAGTTGAAAGTATGAAAATAATCATAATAGAAGAATCGTAATAGAATGAAGTATATCTTGGTAAATTTAAATCACATAAATTATTACTACATAAAGTGAAAAGTAAGTTGAAAACAGTAAAATAAAGTTCCAGCATCGCGACGGTGATGCATCAGTGATGCACTAGAATCTTAAGTGTTTGAGAGGATTGTTGTGGTGTCCACGGCCTCGAAAGCTCTCTTTAGACAAGGATGATGTGGGCAATCTCTAGATCTCCTTGTGAAGTTTAGAGATCAATGAAATGAGTTGTCAAATCATCTCTACTGGTTGTTAGTCGGCGGAGTCGAAAAAATGATGACTTTGTGGCTCTTTGGCAGCTGTCACCCAGCAAAGAGGAGCTAGATGGAGGTGGGGCGCGTGTTAAGGAGCTTCATCCTCAAGTCCGCATAGTAAAAGGAGGCTCTTCATCATATCCGGTATGCTCTCAAGAGGTGACGACTTGTCTCTCGGTGGATCGTTTTCTTCCCGATGATGGTTTGTTTGTCGATCAATTGGAGATGCTTTACAAACGTTCAATAATTTTAGTAATAATATTATGTGAATCGCGTTAATGAGATTTTCACCGATGATTTAGTGATTCTGGTTACTTAATCCTTCACCGACAATCTATAAGAAAGTCACGATAATCAGATAAAAAATATGAGTTTTAGCTCTAGGAAGATTCAAATCCGCACTAGTTGCTAGGCTGTATGAGAGAGATTATAATAAATACTCTAATGCCCTTATCAAATGGCATCATCATGGTATATTTTTATTATAAATAAGAGGTATTTTAAGTATTAAAATTATTGAAGCCTTTTTAGGGAAGGTGTGATGTGGGTTTAATCTTACATCATTTGTGTGCTGAAGTTTCAAGCAAATATATAGTAATAGTACATTTATAAATAAGTCCCTTTCTCGTACATGTATAATTACTTCTTTACCCCACAGTCAACTGGTCATTAGTGATGTGGAAGAAGAGTGGTGCACATGTGCCCTTATCAGTCCTAGTCACTCGAGCCCTTGCTCGCAGCTCCTCCCCGACTGTGTTTCTAACCCATTTGTAGGCTTGGCTAGCTAGCAGGTACCCCCCATTTTACTATATTTCTATTTTTATTTTTATTTTTTTATTTATCTCAAAAGTAAGATGATAAGTCTTTATTATTATGAGTTAATAATTAGTAAATAATATAGTTTTAGCCTTAACTCATGATAAATAAAACTATATTTGTGTTAAAGTGTAAAAAAGTAGTGTTTAGTTGATTAACATAAATTTTTAAGTAATTATGTGATTTTATACGAATTTATATAATTTTTACAATATTATTTTTGAAATAAATGAAGAAAAAAATATAAATATAACAAAATGAGGGAGACCCACTGGCCAACCAGGCCCACAAGCGAGTCGAAAGTGAAGTTGGGGAGTAGCCACAAGCAAGGGCTCAAGTGACTTGGACCGATAGGGGCACATGTGCGTCACTCTCCTTCCACATTACTAGTGGCCAGCCGACTATAGGGCAAGAAGTGGTCATACACGTGTGAGAAAGGGACTTGCTTTGAAATGTAACATCATTATATATTCGTTCGAAACTTCGGCGCACAAGCAATGTGGGATAAAACTCGCATCACATTTTCCTAAGAAAGGGGCGGGCAACCGACATAGGTTCGAATCCTCCTAGAGCGAAAACTCATATTTTTTTATCTGATTATCATGATTTTCTTGCAAATCGCCGGTGAAGGATTAAGCAACTAGAATCACTGAATCATCGGCGAAAATCTAGTCAACATGATTTGCGAAATATTGTTACTAAAATTGATAGACAATTCGTGATAAAAAGATTACAAATTCATCGAGTAAAGCATCTTCGATTGATCAATGAACAAATCATTGTCAGAAAGAGGACAATTTATCAGGAGACGAATCGACATCTCCTAAAAGCATATCAAATGTGATGAAGAGCCTCCTCTTACTGTGCGGACATGAGGATGAAGCTCCCTAACTTGCACCCCACCTCCATCCAGCTCCTCTCCGTTGGGTGACAACTGTTAGAGAGCCACAAAGTCAGCATTTTTCCACTCCGTTGAGTGATAGCCGCCGGAGACGATTCGACAACTTATTTCATTAATCTCTAGACTTCGCAAGGAGATTTAGAGATTACCCATGTCGTCCATGTCGAAGGAGAGCCTTCAAGGCCGTGGACATTATATGATGATCCTCCCAAACACTCAGGATTCCGATGCATCACTAACGCATCGTCGCTTTGACGTCGGAACTTTGTTCTCTTACTTTCAACTTAATTTTTACTTTATTTAGTGATAATTTATGTGATTTAAATTTATCAAGATATATTTATCGGTCCTAGCCGCTCAAGCTCCTACTCGCAATTCCTCTCAGACTGCACTTCTAACCTACTTACAAGTATGGCTGGCTAGTGGGTACCCCCCATTTTGCTATGTTTTTATTTTTATTTCTTTTTCATCGTTTATCTCAAAAGTAATACTTTAAAAATTATAGAAATTCATATAAAATCACATAATTATCTAATTTTTTTAATTAATTAAAAGTCAATTTTTATACTTTAACATAAATATAAATCTATTTATCATGAGTTAAGACTAAAACTATATTATTTACTAATTATTAACTCATGATAATGAAAGCTTATCAATATGAAATCAGAATTGAGAGAGATATGACCAATAGATGTTTAGATAATGTTGAGACATCTTTAGAAAAGTTGTCTAACATGATGTAAAATTTATTATCTAACCTTACTATTTCACATGTTCATAATACTCCATGCTCTATGTGTTTTAACAAAAGATATGTAGATGGAGAATGCATCGACACTAGTGAAGTGAATGCGATGAACCATGCACCATCTCACAACTTTTGGAATGGGTGAGGTAATGTAAACTTCAACACAAAGACTCGACCCTCATTTCAGCCAAGACCTTACTTCCAACAGTCCCAACCACAACATATGCCTCAAAGTAACTCTAATGAACTTCTTATGCATATTTTGTATGAAATTCAAAACGACTAACATGAAACAAAAGAAGCAATGCAAGGCGTAGTGAGAGATGTGGAGCAGCTCAAAGTTGATGTGGAGAGGCTAAATCAAGTCAACTCAAATGTTGAAAATATGAAAGGTAAAGGGAAAGAAGTGGGCTGCGGTACAAGTCAATTTTGAATTCATCTTTTATATTGATGGATTCTCGTAATGTTATTTCTATAGAATCTCATCTATTTTTTCCTTCAAAAAATCATGAATACATTCATGTCATAACTAAATTAAGAAATGAGAAATATTTAGTTGACTCTTATGACAAGAATAAAGAGGACAAGCAATAGAAAACCTTAGAAAAAGAAGGCAAAAAAGTAGAGCTGAATGAAAAAGAATTAACCTTAGAAAAATATCAACCACTTATTTGTTTTCTAACGTGACTTAGTTGTTGTATTGTAAATCATGTAAATTTAAAATTTATCAACTAGAAAATATAATTTTTTGAATAGTTAGAAATATTTCTGAAAAAATATATCATGTAAAATTTAATAAAACTTCAAAAAATAACGGTAATTTTCTAGGTTGATCATAGAGATGTAATATAATATCAGGTAATTATTCAGAATTTTTCTCAAAGAATGCTATTTTCTATAAATTTTATACTAGGAAATAAAAATAAAATAGCGTACGAACATCAAGATGACATTAGCTCTTGGTGAACGAGAATCAAACAAAAATAGAGTTTCATCTGACAATTCTTACATAAGTGATTATAGATGATTTAATTAATCAAATTAAGATATGTAAAAGCTAGAAGAATCATAATTGAATGAAGTATATCTTGATAAATTTAAATCACATAAATTATCATTAAATGAAGTGAAAAGTAAGTTGAAAACAGGAAAATAGAGTTCACAGCCTCGAAGGCTCTCCTTAGACAAGGACGATGTGGGTAATCTCTAGATCTTCTTACAAAGTCTAGAGATCAATGAAATGCGTCGTCGAATCTTCTCCGATAGCTGTCACCCGATAGAGTGAAAAAATGACGACTTTGCGGCTTTTTAGTGGTTGTCACCTGATGAAGAAGGGCTAGATAAAGGTGGGGCGCATATCAGGGAGCTTCATCCTCAAGTCCGCGTAGTAAGAGCATACTCTTCATTGCATCCGGTATGCTCTCAAGAGGTAGTGACTCATCTCCTAGTAGATTGTCTATTTCCCAACAACAACTTGTTTGTCAATCAATCGGAGATGCTTTACTCAATGGATTCATGATCCTTTTATCGTGAATTATTCAAAAAATTTAGTAACAATACTCCATGATTCTAGTTACTTAATCCTTCACCGATGATCTACAGAAAAGTCGCAATAATCAGATGTTACCCAATTTCAATTCGGCTCAACTCAAGTGAGCTAAGGGACGCCGTCCAATTTCAACTCAATTTAAGTAGATCAAAGGTGCAACATGCATGAAAACATCAACTCAGTTCAATTTAATTTGGAGATAGCCTAGCAATAGATTTGGACACATGTTAAGTGTGTCAAGATCTTGATTCCCACATCTCTAAGTTAGTTATAACTACCCTTCAGCACATAAATAATCACCACCTTGTAACCCTAGAGGCATTGTTATTTTTCCCAATTTATTTTTGAGTTCACTTCCACGTGTAGGATTGACGTCGAAGATAGCAAGATCTGAGCATGGATCCACAATATATGAATCCTGGAAATAAAATGGGTTTCTAAATCTATATAAGACTAGAGGCATTCTCCAACCCTTGAATGCACAACCACAGATAACTAGTAAAGCATAAATAATGTGTTATTTATAATGTGTAGCCCAACAAATCCATAATTTATGAACATAAGTTTATTGATTTACTAATGGATGCATACGATCGAGCCCAAAAATTGATGTCAAGGTTTCTTGACCTAGGTGGAGAAACTAATAAGATTTGCATCGAGACGGGTAAAAAGGAATAGAACCAAGTGCAATGATGCGTTAGACCAACTCAAGTGAGCCAAAGATTCAAAAAATGCGTAGGCTATCCTTTACCCCAAATTCACTTCCAATGGCCCACTAAGAGACTCAGTCACATATTTATTAGGCCTAAATCTTATGATTCGCACGTTGGGTTCATGTAAAATAACCATAGTCATTCTCTTCTCCATATTTTCTAGGATCATAACACGTTTCTCTCTTTGTACCTTAGTTGTAACTAATTTTTGGCCTATAGGCAGGGCCTCCCCCATGGCCCCCAAAATGCACATTCTTTTCAATGAATTTTTCAATTCCTTTCATTTTCGGAGGTCCTTCCCTTCTACTGGTGCGTTCTAGTGCCCCGTGGACAAATCTATACATTATGCGGCCTCAAGTCAAAGAGTTTTCAATAAAATCACATTCTTTTACAGACCCAAGATCGTGACTATGCTTTCAAAATATTCAGCCACGGTTTGCTGTGACTTGATCATGCGTTCTTCTACTTTATGTTGTGTTAGGATAACCATAATTCCTAGCATTTAGGTATAGTAGAACATGACAATAATTATGCATCATGTAGGATGAGTTAGTCTTAGAGGAATTAAGTAGGGAAGATACAATTTTTTGTAAGGTTTTCAACACTTCGAAACTTATGTCAAGTGTGCTCCTTTAGATTTATGTTCTATGCACTTGAGAAGTCACTAATCATGGTCACCCAAGTAGAAGTTCAATACAATATGTAAATATATTTTGTTTGTTCAACTTGTGTGTTGAAACAAATAAAATTACAAATGATGTAGTCCAACCAGACCACAAATAGACTCCACCACGAGACTCTGGTGTATATTGTTACTCAATTTTAGCTCGGCTTAGCTCAAGTGGGCTAGGGGACACTGCCCAATTTCAACTCAATTCAAGTGGATCAAAGGCACAACATGCGTGAAGACATCAACTCAGCTCAATTTAGTTTAGAAACAATCTAGTCAAGATCTTAATTCCCACACCTCTAGGTTAGTTATAATTACCCTTCAGCACATAAATAATCACTACCTTGTAGTTGTAGAGGCATTCTTGTTTTCCATAATTCATTTTTGAGTTCACTTCCACGTGTAAGACTGACGCCAAAGATAACAAGGTTTGAGCATGGATCCACATTATATATTTTTTGAGCTTTTAATTCACTTAAGCTGGGACATGAATGTGCTAATGGAGACAATAAGAAGTGATTTATTGCTAATTCTAGAGATTTATGAGGACTTGTTGCTAATTAACTGTGTTGAGAGAAAAAAGCGTACTACTAAATCCAGAGGTTTATCCGGACTTATCCGTAATTAAATATACTGAGGGAGAGGACCTTTTGCTTGATCTAGAGATTTACAGGGACTTGCCCTTAATTGACTGTATTTTGAAGAATCTAGTTTTAAGGCATTTATGTTTGCTTGTAGTTGTTCTTTCGGATATCCGCCTTCTGTTAAGAGTCTATATATCCTCACTCCTTCGTATCCCCATGGGTACGACGGTAAGAGTTTTCAGGTCCATTACAGTGAGGGGCACCGTGGAGGTCCTCAGAAGGGGAGGGGCTACAGCGTCACTGGTTCTTGACGGCAACAGAATCATGTATTTCGCCTCCGTGGTGCTCCGTGGAGGTGCCTCCGCCTCATATGCCTCCCGCTGCTTCGCCACCCACTCCTTTAACGCGTCCCCTGGCTATGCGGCAGCGGTGGCCGCTGAAAGCGGGCTATACGGCTCCGAGGTCCTGAAGACGGCTAGGGGTTTCCGCAGGTTCGTCGATGAGGCCATCGAGAGGTACCGGAATGACAACCCTACCTGTGAATAATGGGCACTGGATGCCTCCACTAAGCTCACATGTCGTTGCCGATTGCCCTCTGTTTGCTACGGGTGCCGGGTTCAAGAACCGAGGAGCTGGTCTCACGTATATCTCAGCTTCCTGCCTCTGCGGATATCATAGGCGCCATGGACGAGATATCCGACACTGTGAGCGTCGTCTTTCTTTTTGCTATTCTACGTGTTTTACATACATTTAAACCACTATAAAGCAATGCAAACTCAATTATCCGTCCATCAGGTCTGCTCTGTCGTTGATTCTGCCGAACTCTGCAGAAATACTCATCCTGACAGGTGACTACCTTTTGTTACCGATTTAGCCATCCTCATGAATTATTTTCTTCATAATTTTGTTTGATAAATTTCCATGGCTATTTTCTATTTCTGCTCGTTATTTGGAATTATATACCTTACTACCGGTTTCCATTCAGGGAGTATGTGGAGGAGGCTAACCAGGCATCGATGAGAATGTACGATTATATACATGTGAGTTGCCGTCATCTTGTTTTAATTTTGGAATATCTAATTGATACTTTTTCTTTCTTTTTTCTGTACTGTAACGTGTTGTTAAACAAAGGGTTTCAGTGAGAAGATTCTCAACAATTTTGGACCTCGGATATACATAATTTTGAGAAAAATACGTCTACATTGACTTGGTTTGTTTCTGTAAAGTCAGGAGAACTTGATGTGGATTGCCATTCGATATAGGTCGAAAGGAACTTTGCTATTCCAGAGAGAGAATATTTTTAATAATGGAGGAATAGTGGATTCATGTAAAGGAAAAAGGAATTCCAAATATGTATGATTAACGTCAAACTCGCCATATTTGTATAAGCTTTGGCTGAAGTAGTCCTGACGATTTCCAACAACTAGTTGATCTATGTGACCTGTCTGAACAAACTGATTTCAGTGTCTCATGTAGCAAGGCAGTATACTTGGAGGCTTGTATTACTCTAAGCTAACCACGTTTTGGGTCAGGTTATGTTAAATAAATTATGATTTGGAGTCTCATCCTAACTGGATTTGATCTACCTACTGGATACCTACAGGATATAGACTGAATCAAGCTCAGGTATTGGCCATGTCTGACCAAAGATGTATGCATGAGCTTTGCATCAAGCATATAACCCCTTTATTAAGTCCACTCTTGACCCAATGTGATCTAATTCCACTCATTTTGTCAAAGTACACATTTTAAACCATCATTGTGCTGATAGATTTATTGAAAATATTTACAAGGATAGTTTTTAAATTATCTAGGGATGAAAGTTGCGTAACATTTGATTTTTGCAGTTCCCTAGGTCAAGTCAACTTTGGCTCTCGAGGGGGGCTCATGGTGCACTGATGTTTTGTTTTCCTTGGGCATGCATGCATGTATAAACATGTACAGTGTGTTACCTGGTAGGGGTTTCCACTCAAAATATAGGACACCAGAAAAAATCATCCCTCACTTTGATGAACACAATGTGTATATGATTATTTCTAGCTGTTTGTGATCTTGCCATTGCAATCTGTCTGTTGCATGAAATCACAAATGAAATGACATTTTCCATGTAAGTCAAATGCATATTTTATAGAAGAGTTGTGGAGACTACACTAGGCATAAAGTTCATATTACTTACCGAATAACCATGAATAAATAGCAGACCTTAGAAATAGGCCTCAGTCTGAATAATCATTGTTATATTTAATTTATGTAGATATCTAGCCTATATATTTCAGTAGTCTTTAAATGCATTGTGCTGTGTTTGAGATATATCCTTTCACACCGTTTCAGAGTTATTATGTTTTTTCTGCTAACATAGGAATTCTTCTTGGTTTATTAATTTTGACTTTCTCACATTGTGCTGTGTTTGAGATATAATAATATCGATGTATCACTCATGAATATGATACGACCCCGGACTTCCATTGCAGAAAAAAAGTAGAGGATTGGCTGAACAGAAGCACCGGAATAGGAAGTTGATAGAGAATGATAAAGAGGGTTCCTCTGGAACCCCAGCTGTTGGAGACTGTTTGAGAGGGCCACCACTCTCCCCTTAACACCAAAAAGCTCGATACCCCTTTCCCTCTGTCAAGAACCCTATTTCTGACCTAAGTCCCCTTGGACATTTGTTGAAAAAGGCCCTAATCTGATGACTTTGACTCTTCTCCCCTTCTATCCTGCATAAATTGTGTTCGGATCGTATCATAATACCTTTAATATTCTTAGGTATAGACAGTTAGTATTCTTACTTTTTCTTGAATTTTTTAGATACTGCTTTAAATGAACAGCATTTTGCTCAGCATTGTCTTTGAATTTTCTAATATGTCTTCTGTCTAGTAAATGAAGTGATCTTTCTAGACTTTACTTATCCACATCATTTCTTTTTCGGAATTTGATGTCATTTCTGACTCTCAATGCTTTTCACCAAGAACTGGCATTGTGAGATAAGTGCAGCGTCTTATATGAACGTACCATTGAATTAGGTCGTTGTTCACATGCTTCTGCATAGGACCATTGCAGTTTGTTGTCACTTGGTGCTTTATATCAGTCTTCAGGCCATGTCGATTCAGATTTCTCAAATGTGCTGCACACTATCTCATTTGGAGGATGGATTAACATGCAAATTATGTTTTTACACCATCAAAAAATGAACCATTACGTAACTAATATAAGGTCAAATATTTGATCCGCAACCATGTGTCCAAGAGCCATCATGCCACATGATGATATCATATTTTTAACTTCATTTTTACTATTTAAAATATGATATCACATTTTTATCAACAATAATGAAGGTTTTAGCTGTGATATAGAAATGCTTTACAGAAGGTGAAATCATATTGGTTCCCAAATTTCACTTTCACCAACGAAACCTAAGACATCCAAGAAGCCTAGATTGAGTGATTTTTAGAGATTTTGTCTTCTAACAAAGGAAAGACACATCCAGTGACACTTTTGTTTAGTTGCCATGGACAATTGTTGGCATTTTAGTATGAATGAGCTTTATGAATAAATCAATACACTTTTATGCAGAATGTAGAAATGAAAATCCATAATATACCTTCCAAACTTTAATGCCACTTCTTTCGCCATGCCCTTTTTTACAGTGTTTGAACACCAACCATACTTTGTACAAAGCGGTGATGAGTGCTGAACAAGAGGCTGTCTTTCCCACAAGAGAAGCTGAAAGGATGGCACACTCCTTGCGTGTTGATTTTGAGAGGGGAGGCATCCATCTTTGTGCACGTATATCTCGTTCTCATGACCTTGATGTTTAGGTGATTTGTGTTTTCTCTTCTAACTGCGTTGTGGTATCTGCAGACAAGCTGGAACGTGTTAATCAGTTAAACAGTGAAATTTCTCTTCTTGGTAGAGAGTATGTCCCTATAATTGATTTTTTCTTTTTACGTTTCATTTAATTTTTTATACAATTTACTGCCTCAATTAACTGAGGGGACTCACTTCTCATAAAGTTATTTCAGTGGAAACATTTATAGTTGGTGGTTTCATTCAGCATCTTGCTTTATGGTTTTCTAACTGCATTTATGGCCTCCTCATCATTCCAGGAAACCAAACATTATAGCATCAGACTGATTCCTTGCAACCAAATTATCTAGTGGTGATGGTCAAGCTTTGTAATTTAATGATTTCATCTTCATGTGACGTTTTACTATTTTTGAGATCTACTTTCATGAGGTTAACAAACAAAAAATTGGCGAGGAGATTTGGAATGACGTTTATGAGGTTAAAATTGTTGTTTGTAGTCTCTGAAAATGGCTGTAGAAACTTTTTTCCCCTACTTGTGAAAGGATGGGGAATGAGATCTTTATGTCTATCAATAACTGCATGCACTGTGCGGTGAATGTGAAGAAGTAGGCCGTTGTCTTGCAATAAATTGTTAAAGAAGTATTTGCAGTGAATCCCCTGTTCAGTAGTCAGATGGGGGGCACCCAGCTCATTTTATAAATTCGCAAATTAGATCATTTCTCTTTATTTGAATAAAAAATTCTACGTCTTGGAACCAAACAAGTTTTGCAGCAGCTTTGTGATAATGGAACCAACCCGCAAGAAGCATTTATGCTAGAAAAACCAATGCACTGATCGCAGTACAATGGAGTTGTAATTCACTATTTATTTCAGATGCTCGCCAAAGCTGAAAAAAGCAAGGGATTATTCGTATTCCTCAGAAACCCACACCAACATCACCATTTAATATTTCTTGACCCACTATTGGCCAAGCCACCTGGGGACTGGGTGCAGTGTGAGTAGGATCACTTGACTATGCTTAATAATTAGAAAAATGAGCGCCATGGAAGTACATGCCACTCACGTGGTCAGTACTTGACCAGTGATGCATGGAAAATCGTCGGGATAGCTCAGTTGGTAGGGCAGAGGACTGAAAATCCTCATGTCGCCAGTTCAAATCTGGTTCCTGACACGTAATTAATAATTGGAAGAATACTCATACAAATTCATCGTGGAACGGAATTGACCACTCAGTAGAGTCCTGGAAACACTGGTTTATTCCATATTTTTTTACCATCCCATTTAATCAATGTTTTTGTTGACTTGTACAGTTTGCACATTTTTGCTCTGCCCAAGAATTATTCAGTGCAACATCTGCACAGTTTGTTACAAAAGTGGCAAACTACTCCATTTTAGCCCCCTCTTTTTTTTTCCAATTTTTCCATGGTCTGAACTAGTTCAGGACAAGGAAGCTTATTGCACGCAAGGAATATCCTATTATTATGATATTGAATAAAAGATATTCAAGTACTTTGTTTTTGATGTAGGATTGTGATACATTGGCCAAGCTCATGACATTTCTTACATTTTTCCAGTTCTATGTCTTATCCTTAAGTTGATAGGTTGATAATCCCAGGCCTTTTTTGTGGAAGGAAAGAAAGTAGTTAATGCAGAAGTTGGTAAAATGGTTGCACACTGTTTTTTGATTGTGGCTTTAGAAACCTTGATAAATCTTATACAAAATGAATTGAGAAATACGAAGAAAATGTCATTGTGAATTTCACAGTTCCATCTTGTTTGCTTTACACGTCATTAATCATTAACTGGCTGACAGATTTTATATTACACAATGGTACACAGTATACAATAATGTGACTGCGGATTTCGATGAAATATGATTGTATTCCATAATTTTGCTTCTTTGCCTTCTGAATTATTTAATGCGGTGCTAATGATGTTGACTACTATTTGGTATTTCCCCTGGTTAAATGGTGATTCTCAATTTTTTTTTCGCTTACAATAAAATAATTCTAGGTAAGAATGCTTTAGTATCATGTAAGTATGAGGTCTTACAAGTTGGTTTGTGGGTTTATATCTCAGGCCTATTATTAACAAATGAATTGTGAAAAGTTTTGTCAATCAATTTAAATAATGAGAATTTAATTTTCTTGCACTATAATTTTTGGAATGTGGTGAATCGAATTTGCCCACTTAAAACTTTACTCATTATGCTTTTTCGTTTTCAGGTTTAATGAAAATATCATCATTGACCCAGGTTCCATTGAAGTATTTCCTGCTTCACGTATCCCTAAACATATGCACCATCTCCTAAAGCCCATTTATCATCGAGACAAGCAAAAAGAAAAGGGTTTTCACATAATAACTGACCCTGTTACTCTATCTTCCCTATTGAAATGGGTTCCAGATTCTGAGGTAGTTTTTCTTATTATAACCTTTTCCTTGGTGGATTATTACATAATCCAAATATTTCTCATATTTCTGACGAAAGTAAAAGGTTTAGAAACCAATCCTTGCATTCCTGTCACAGTCACTGTTACATGGACTACTGCATGACAATCAGTGATAAAAGAGTTTTCTTAATGATCACCCCATTGATTTTCTTCACTCTTTATAATATGTGTGCATTGGATGCAAGAGTTGCTTCTTTCATTGATCACTTCCTCGTTCTTTCTTTAGTATGGCTTTGTAACCAAACATAAGTACATTATTTTTGTTGCACATTTTTAAGATGCATATTTCAACTTTTGTGGCACAAGTTCCTCTTTCTAAACTGTCATCATGTAGCATACAGTTGCCCTATAGAGACGGTGGATGATAATATTGTTTCAATGATACTCTGAAATATTTATGGGCCGCACAGAACAATATGGTAACCCAGATTTGAATAAAATTTATGAGACATCCAGACATAACCTTGTGTAATTATCTTTTTCGTATAGCTACCTTTCAAAGAGGTGTTTCTCGTGTGCTATAGATTTTTTTGGTGAATACTGTTCGATAACACCTTCTATGAATGATTACTGTCGCATTCATATTCACCAATTTTTTATTGTTGTCAAGACCACTCAATATCTTTCAGAGCTGAGAAAGGTTCTGGGCCACTTCAGCATGATGCCTTCAGTAAATTTTCCCTTTGGAATAGTTCTAGTCAATTGTACAACTCCTTACTCCCAAAACAAATGAACAGTAATTCTAGGTCTCGGTTTTTGAAAGCACTAGTGGCCTACCCCATGTACTATTTGTCCAAATGTCCTTGAAGGAGCTGATTGTTCGCTATCTTATTAAAATCAGATGTGAAACTGGTTCTATGATGGGATTGTCAGGGCAAGGGATTTCGTGGCCTTATCCATGGTGCTTTGCCACCTGAGTGATATTAGGATGCATCATTGAGTCAATAGACTGGTGCGTGGATTTGATTCATGTAGCTGTGCTAATTGGTAGTGATTTGATCTGGCCTGAAAGTGGATCGACGAGGGCCGTTTGATATCTGATAATAATGTGATTCAACTCAAAATTCAATCTACTCATGTGCATATGAATGCATAAATATCAGTTTTTCCGTTGGAATGGAATTGACTTGGTTAATTCCGACATCACTCCTGCCAAGACTACAAGTAGGTTATAATTTGGATGATTTTTTGTTTAGTTCGAAACACCTCTTATGTCATCCACTTTAAAAAAACCATTTTAAAGTGGGAGTATTTGGAACTCTTTGTTGAATACTTAAGCGACCTCCTTGGCTGAGAATGGCTCTTACTAGTGACTCAATCTCATTTTTCTGGTAGTGGGAGTATTTGTAAGGCCTCAAATTTATAGGCTTTGCTCTTGGTAACAAGTGAATGGCATGGTCAAAAGGCATTCGAGTGGCAACCCTATCATCATTTCAAAAACCTGGGGAAATTCCTACTTCAAGCAGATTATTAGATCATTTGGTGCTCTAGTGTCACTATTTGAGCAAATATGGTGCAATTTGACCATGTATTTATTACTACCTTTAAGTTCCTTCTCTGCTCTTCTCAGTGAAGCATTGACTTTTGTGATACTAGAATCCCTCTTGAAAATGTGAATTGTATCTTTCATCATGAATTTCATTATAAACTTTTCATAACTTGAGGGAATCCATCCCAAGGTTCTTAACCATTGAATGCCTAGAATAAAATCAGTGCTGCTCAATTCTAGAGGTAAGAAATCTTGTACTAGTAAAACGCCTTGCGAATGTAGAGGAACAACTTTGTAAATTTTTGCTCTGGTCATTATGTGGTCATTGCCCATGACAATGTTGTATCCATATGACTCTTCCATCTATAAAGATAAGTTGTCAATAACCTTGGTGCACAGAAAATTGTGAGTTGCTGCACTGTCAATAAGTACAGACACTTCGACATCATGTTTTTTGCCCCATAATTTTAAGACTCCTTGCTGAGTAATTCTCATGACTAAATTTAAGGGTACATGTTTAGTGAACACACTCTCATCAATGTTGGTTATAACTTGATCAGACGATTCCCAAACTTCATCAGTGTTGTCATCGTTCAGTCCTTTTTCGTCTTCATCCACAATAACAATGTTTAACTCTTTCCTACAACAATGTCTTGGAGTAAATTTTTCATTGCAATAATAACATAATCTTTTATCTTCTCTTTTGAAACTCCTGGTCTGTCAATTTGAGTATCTTGCGGTTGCTCACAGGAGGCTTTGATGTAAAGGAGTTTCCCTTTGAATTACCTTCAGCTGAACTCTAATAGTCCTTCCTGAAATTACCTTGGTACTTGCATTTTGGAATTCTCTTTTGCAATAATAAATGACGAACCTAGTTTGGTTCATTCTTTGGAGCCATTTGATTTTTGGTGAACTCATTTCTGCTTCTTCTAATTTCTTAGAGGTGAATCTTGGCTTGGATTGATAAATCCATAGTTTCTCTGAGCCCAAAGTGCTTCTGCATTGTCAATTCAGATTTGATATCTGGTTTTAAACCCCTCACATATGCATCTTCTATCACCTCAATGTGTACATGAGATAGAAAAGCTGCAATTCGTTCAAATTTAGCCCTGTACTCCCTCACTAAATTAGTTTATTGTCACTAAATTCCCTATTTTAGATGTCTTAAATCATTTTTCTAATTGACTCTTGAAGTCGTGTCAATCACGAAATAGGAATCTATCCTCCATCCAAAGATACCGTTCTCGGGCTTCTCTCTCCATACTCAACATAACTTGCTTGAGTCCATCACATTCTGGCATTGGATTTAGGCGGAAGTATCTTTATGCACGCCTGATCCATCCCTCTAGGCCGTCCCCTTAGAAAACTAGTAGCTCTATCTTCTAAGTTACCTGCACCTGGTCATCATGAGAGGCTGGATCCGAATGAGTGGTGCCATGATACTATTGTCTCGGTTCTTCTCTTGGATCTTTATTGGGATACAAACTAGAGTGGAGATCTTTTATGGATAGTTTCTAGAGAATCTGGTTGAGAATTTCTTTCTATTCATTCGTGGATTGTTCTTGTTTGGCATATCTTTGCTTCAATTATGCGATCTCATCTACTAGCAAAGCCATCTACTATGCCTTGGACCTGGTGAGCATCTGCTGGCTAAGATTGGTTCCAGCCTGACTGGTTGGTCGTTCTTTTTGTAACAGTTCTTTTCTTGAAATTCGTTGCAATCAGAATTTAGGATGAATATCTGCTTTCAACCTTGGTAATCCGATCCCTGCTAGGGTTGCGGTAACAGAATCTTGCTTCCGTAATCCCGTGTGACAGTTGCTCCAAACTCTAGCAAAGCAGACATAATAACCTGGCTCTGATACCAATATTACGAACATCAGAAGAGTTAACAGCTCATAGATGAATCAAAAGGAATAGGAGAAAGATCATGAAGAAGATTCAAGGACAATAACAAGTATTCTTGAGGTCGAATTGATCCGCAGAACATATGCATCCAAATTAGAATTCGTTAGGGGGAGAATCTCCCATTTACCTTCTAGGTTTTTCCTCCCCTCCCATTATTTAGGTCCTCCTCTATGTATACCAGCTCTGGTACATTATTCTTTAGTGGTCCCCATCAATGTGGGGGTCCAGGTCATCTTTTGAAGATGACGGTTGGCTTTGTAACAGGTTTCCAGAGGAAACCCTAGAACAGTTGGGATGAATTTGAAAGCGCCCCACTCTCATGCTGACTTCTTCCAAAGTGCCCCCACTGTGGGGTCCCCCTTATTCCTTATTCCAAAAGCACCCCACCACAGGCCCACTTGCCCTCAGTCCTCCCTTACGTCATTCTTCCTTTTATGGTGCCAAGTATTCCAAAATGGGTTTGGGTCGTGGGTCTTTGCTCAGATCCACTAAGTGACCCAAATAGAGAACTAGGGAGGGACTGAACATTATTTTTCTTGCTTTAGATGACATTTATTTGCATTATATTTTCATGGAATGCAAAGTTTAAATGACCATTTTGGTTGTTTATTGCAGGTTAGGAAAAGAGCATATGTCACTGGAAATTCTTCCCCACGTGCCAATCTTGATGTTGTTCATAGGCTTATTGCTGCTCGCCATGAGCTTTCTCAGGTTTCTTTTCATTTTTCCTCCCTTTGCAAAATCATGTTATACTTCATGGATTACATGGCTCAAATCGACATTCTCATCTTGTGACATGACGTTTGTGCCAATGATTCCTTGGTACTTGCAGTCATGGTTGATGGAAGTTGGATTTTAGTTAACTGGTATTCATTTTTATCCATGGATACTAATTCTGGAGCCCATGGGTATCAAGCTGTGGATTACCAAGTTTGAGAAAACCATTTCTGCACAAGTTTCTGGAAAGAATGGGCCCTGGCACTTGTTAAAATCGCAAATTTGGTAACCATACATTCTGAAACTATTATATGTAAAGCCCAAGATTTTGAGGTGGCCAAAGGCTGATGTAAGGGGTTGCAGAGTGAAATGGGCTCCAGGAAGGTCACTTCCAGGAGATATGTGTACCTTCATGACAAGGAGACTGTTTGGGAGGTGACTGTCCACGTGCAACTATGGCCTTTGATAGATGTATGCCAGTTGAATATGCGTAGCTTTAATGAATATGCTTTATTGTATGCTTCATATGCCACATAATATTCATTAGGTTTTTAGGACGGTGTATTTTATTAAATGCAAGTTTACAGCACCTAATTGCCATATGTGCATTCTCTTGTGCAATAGGAACAGTCATCTATACCCTTTTCTCCCAGATGCCATTTACTGTTTCTTATCTGACATCATTACTTCGAACAGAGATCCGTGTATTATATAGAGCCTTTGTCTGTACATTCTATGATTGAAGTGTTTTAAAGACTACCTGCTTTAGGCAGGAAAGACAAAACTTTTTGTGCTTATTTATAGAAAGTTTCCAACTCAATTTCACTCGTTCTTGGGCAAAAATATATAGCTTTGTCTCTGAAAGCACTCTCCACTATTTTATATTGTTCCCAGATCGTACCATCTGCCACAATATCCAGAGGTTCTTTTTGCAACATATGCTGGCAGAGGAATTATTTTGTTAAACTAATCTTAAAGGGTTACTTTGACATTATTGAGTGTGGCTTCTAATAAATGTCTTTTCTATGCCTCTGAAACTGTAGCAACCAGGTGGCTTTGATGTGTTTCATTGTTCACTCATTGAGATTTTACAGAATTCAGAATGGCATATCTTTGATTGTCAAGAGGTAGCATCATGTGTGAAACAAGCACTGGTTGAAGATACCTCTCTGTGACATTTATTTGATAGACCAATGGGTTATGTGTATCTTGGCGTGTTCAGTAGTGTTCACTGTAGTGCTGTTAAAATGATCCAAGCATGTGTCATAAATTTTTTTAATGGAAGGAAGTTGAGAACATTCCTCAAGGAATCCTGGGTCATAGGTGGGAGGACATAATGTGATGCATGAATACTGAATGTTGCATCTGAGGCAACTGCAAGCTTGGCCATTTTTTGGCCGTGCAGTTGATTAATGATGAATAACCAACGTCAATGGTTGTAAGCTGGATGATTGATGAGAATGTCGATTTTCTAATTCAAACTTTTGCGATGGTCATAAGTGGGTTTGATAGCAGATGTTCATGTTGATTTCCTAATGCCAACACTGAGTGGAAAGACGCAAAAAGCAAATCTTTAGCAATTGTAACATGATAAGATTGTATATTTGTTGAACTCATCAATGGGCCAGACGGTGGTGAGTTTGGGTGATAGTCATACATTAGTGACAGAGGTGTTATTTGTTTACCTCGGATGACAATAATTTTGGCTTCCCGCTGTAAAGGGTATAATGTACTAGGTGAAGATAAACTTTGTAGTATTAAAGTTCTTTACTGGACACTTATTTAGGGGCAGGAGACTTGTGAAGTAGGCTTGTCCAGTTAAAGTCGAATCATTAATCTCTCTTATGTTTTTGCCTAGATCGAAGTGCAGATAGATTGAAGTATGAAAGCTCTTTTCAGAGATACATGTGCAGCACCCTTCCGGGTTTTTCTTGTTTGGTTCAGGCAAATGTCATTTATCTTTACCATGTTGCTGACTATATCATATTGCCGGGTCAGCAGTCAGACTCCAAACTAACATGAAGACCTGCCGCTATCAATATAGGTAACTAGCTGTTGTCCATTATGTGGCTGCAATGTCGACCTGACAGTTTGTGAATGATGTTTTCTGAAATTTGTAGTGGGAAGGTTAGTGCGATGGTGGAGATCCTAACTATACTACACACCAAACTTGAGTAAAGCTTTTCTGCAGAGTTAGGAGAGATTCTGTTTGATATGGAACAGATTGCTTGATTGAGTGATGGTGGAAGCCAAGACAAATAACTGTATAGTCTATGGGTACTTTCTTCCATGACTGTTTATGTTGAAAACTCAGATTCTGAAAAATCTACAACCTCAGATGTTCAGAAGCATTCATTTTCATTGGAGCAATATTCATTAATATCATGATCCTCTCATAAATAATTGTGCAGTTTTTGGTAATAATTTGAAGCTTTCTTATTTTCGGCACCATTTCGATCCAAAAATGGATTTGCCAGGCGTTCAATATCCACCATCCCGAGGTTGTGATACAATCCTTCTTGGAAGGATTGGATCTGAGTGAATCCGGAGAGAAACAAAATTGATTCTCAAAATCGGGACAATGTTGTAAGATAGAATGTCAGGATGACAGTTCTATCAGAATACAAGAAATGGAAGAGAGAAAGAAGAGTAAAAGGGGTGGGGAATGAATTTGAGAGGATTCCCCTACCTCTTTTGGCTTTGACTGTTCTCCTCCTTTTTCCCCCCCCCTTCCCCCCCCGAAGTTTATTTATAGTCCTCACATGTGCATTGCATGGGGTTGTTACATTACTCCCCCCCTCTAGATTCACTTTCTTCTCTAGGTGAAATTATGGAACTTAGTGAACAATATTACGAGCGAGCTCCCTTGAAGCCTCATGATCTGGTAGATTGGCCCATTGCACTAGAACCTCTAGACCTACTGGTGTCTTCTGCACTCCTTTGATTGTTTGAGGTTGGACATGCCATTCTATATCTTTGGTGAGAGTGAATGTGGAAGTGGCTGAGGCGAATTGTTGGTTGATAAGGCCTGCTGAAGTTGAGATATATTAGATACTTGGTGAATTGATGAAAAAGATGGAAGATCAAGCTTGCATGTTGTTTGGCCCACTCAAGAGAGGATTTTATATGGCCCAAAAAATCTTCAAGAAAGCTTATCAGTTCCCTTGCATGCTAGAAATTTCATTTTGTAAGGACGAAGTCATAGATAGACACTATCATTTACTTGAAACTCCATTGGGTGACGATGATGGTCCGCCTTTCATTTCATTTGAGATTAGAAGTTCTGCAAATGTTGTTACAGCAGGCTAAGTATTTGATCACATTCTAGCAATTGTTGGTCTATGGCTAAAATTAGAGAGGGGAAAGGCCCATAGTTGATGATGGCAGGTGGATCACGCCCATAAACTACTTTGAATGGGGTGTTCTTGATAGAAGAGTGGTAAGTTGTACTGTAGGACAATTCCACCCAATGTAGCCAAGATTGTCACTCCTTGGTCAATCTGACACAAAAGATAGGATTCTAAAGATCTGTTCACCACCTCAGTCTGTTTGTCTGACTGATGGTGATAGGATGGTGGCAATACACCTCATGTCAGATAAGGATAGCTCATGCCAGACAAGGATAGCTCACGCCAAACAAGGGTAGCTCACGCCAGACAAGGATAGCTCACACTAGACAAGGATAACCCATGTCAGACAAGGTAAGCTGAGTTCCTTGCAAATTGCATATCTCATGCCAGTAAACACTTTCTCATGGTCAGAAACAATAGATTTAGGTAAGCCATGTAAGTGAACAACATCTTTTACAAAAGCTCGTGCCACTTGTGGTGCAGAAAATAGGTATTTTAAAGGAATAAAATAGTTGTACTAACTAAGACAATCAACCATGTCCAATATAGTATTAAAGCCATTAGATCTTGACCAACCTTTTATAAAGTCCATAAAAAGGTCTTCCCATGCCTAATGTGGAATGGGTAGTGATTTTAAAAGGCTTGCGCGAGACAAGGATAAGATCTTGTTCCTATAGCATTTCCACATACTCTTTGATAGTTCTTTTCATGCCTTTCCAAAACACTTGCTATGATAATCTTTTATATGTGCATAGGAACCCCTATGGTCTCCTACTGGCGAATCATGATCTTCTCATAATAGGAGTGTTATTACAGTTGATTCAGATGATAACACCAGCTGATTCTTGTAAAGTAGCATCCCATGATGCAAGGAGAAATGAGGATGAGCATTTGAGCCAGTAGTCAATTCATCCATAACAGCTTGTAGCTTGGAATCTTGTGAAACTTCTTTCTGAACGATAACAAGGTCCAACAATTGGAGTTAGAAAACTAAAGTCGCCCCTAGCTCCCCATCTGTGGTGCTCGGGACAAGGCATCAGCAGCAGTATTAAGGCATCCTTTATATCTGATAACAAAATTGAACCCCAATAATTTGATGAGTCATTTGTGATATTGTTGGTGGACATACCACTGTTCAAGAAGATATTTCAGACTATACTGATCAGTTTTAATGATTATGGGCTGATGAATTAAGTAGTCCTATCATTTTTGTACTGCTTTAACAATGACAATGAGCTCCCAATTGTAAGCTGACTTGAACTGATGCCTCTAGGGGAGGACTTGGTTGTGGAAAGCCACTGGTCTTCCAGATTGCATAAGAACCTCCCCTCCTACAGACACACACACTATGTTTTGAGGCATCTATTTTAAGAACAAATGGTAATGAAAAGTTAGGCAAATCTAAGGCTGGTGTAGTTGTCATTGCCTCTTTGAATTGGATGAACACCTCTTGAGAAGCTGTACTTTAAACATAAGAGTTTTTCTTCAGTAGGCGAGTGAGGGGCCATGCAATGGAAGCATAGTTAGCTACAAACTCCCTGTAGTAACCTGTGAAACCAAGAAAACCTCTTATCTCCCTAATATTCCTTGGAGGTTGTTAGTGGAGCATAGCTGAAATCTTGCCTTCATCTACAACAATCCCTTCCTTAGAAATTCAATGACTAAGATATCCAATAGAGTGTTGGGCGAACTGACACTTTTTAAAATTGATACAGAGATTGTTTGTAGATAGAACATATGAGTCGATTGATGAATTGCATGGTAAGAGTATTTTCTCTAAAATAGATTTGAAGTTAGCTTACTATCAACTTCGTATGAAAGCTACAGACGTTCCAAAGATGACATTTAAAACTCACAATGGGCATTATGAATTTATTGTTATGTCCTTTGGACTTTTAAATGCACCAACGACTTTTTAGTTGCTTATGCCTAAGCTGTTCCAACACTTTCTTAGGTAGTTTGTACTCATATTTTTTGATGATCTCCTTATCTACAGTCGCAATAGTCAATCATGAAGAACATAGGATATCAATTTAGAATTATTTTTTCTTATTTAAGGCTTGATAATCCACACAAAACTTTCAACCACCGTCCTTTCTTTTACCAATAAGATTGAACTTGCATAAGGACTCTATAAGGGTTGAATAAAACTTGTCGTCAAGAATTCTTGGACCAACTTCTCAATTTATCTTTCTGAAAATGAGAATAGTGATATGGTCTTAGGTTTACCAGCCTACTACCTAGAACAATCTTAATTGACTGGTCCACTTTGCCCTTTGGCAATAGTCCCATTGTGGGTTGAGAAAATAGATGCAAATAATTGTTGGAAATGAGATTCAGTAGGGGAAATAATGGTTGTACTTTGCGTAACTCCAAGAGGATTGAGGGCTGCTGCCTGATGACCTTTTCTAATAGTTTCAATGAAACTTTTGATTTAGATAACTTTGGATTTCTTTTGAGAACTCTGAACACCCTATTTACTGTGAACTTCATAGTTAAGTTTCCCCAATTGACATGAATCTACCTTGTAGAACCACTTTTACTGAGTATGGCATTAGTACTTCCCAATGTAAGTGGCAAGAAATCTTGAGTGATGACTGAACCTTTTGAACTTGTAGAGAGATGTTCTTACAAACTGTGTTCCCTTATAGGGCCTGGCCATTTCTCATGAGCTTTCATAATTCACTACTGATTGGAGTAATTGGAACCGTAAACATAATTATGTGCAAATGAAATCATGTGTTGCACCTGAATCAATTAGAATTGTAATAACATGCCTTTTGTAAAATTCCTTTCATCTTCATAGTTTCTGTTTGAGTGAGTCTCATCACTAAATTCACTGATATTTGTGTTGCAAATAGCTTCTTCTTCTGTTGGCTGCTTCACATCATTCTTGGAATCATATAGAATAGTGTCATTAGGTTCTTGGTCATTTTCATGAATTCTTAGGATCTAAAGTTGTTTCTTGCATCAATGTCTTAGACCAAATTTTTCTTCACACGATAACAGTTTCTTTTCACAATGACTTTGATATTCTGCATCAGTGAGAGTGATCTGCTAGCGGTATTGGTTGTCCTTCCCTTTCACTTGAAGCGGAGGATTACACTTAGGCTTCCACCCCAAGAAATAGGACACGTTCTAACTCTTTTCTTGTTCACATAAGGTGCAAATACATTCCTCTGCCTCCACTGATGCGTTCATAATTTCCATCAGTCCTACTAGACTCATGCGAGCAAATTCTGTTTGAATTTCTGGCTTTAGACCTTTGTTAAATGTATTCTCCATTATAAGATCTTGGAGTTTTGTCAGGTAAGTAGGTAAACGTTCATATTCTGCTTGATATTCCTAAATTGAGTGTTCCTGTTGGATATTTAGGAATTTGTGAAATGTGTTGCCTGCTGCAGAAGTACCAAAGTGTTTTCCCAATTGAAACTTGAAATGTTGTCGGTTTTGGAACATATACCTATCATCCTTTCATAGGTACCACTCCAATGCCAGGCCTTTGAGTTTCGTCATAGCCATTTCTAACTGATCCCGCTCATCTACCTTGTTTAACCTACAAATTTTTCAGTACATCTCAACCGACCTTCAGAATTTTGCCATGAAATACTGGTATCTCCCCTTTTGTGGTGAACTGAATGATGTTGTGACTTGTTGTAGGTTTGTTTTGAACAGATTCTTGAGGGTGGATGGTAGATTGTTGTAGGATGGCCGTTGTCTGTCTGTTCTTGACAGAATGATGATGTCGGCTGTTGATTAAGAGTCTCCTTCTTCTTTTGGGCATCCAATTGAGCGCATACTGCCAGTTGGAATTGTTGCATGTTTTGTAAGAGATGGTGCTTCAAATCTATGGATTCTTTTTGTGATTTTACATATCTTTGGCTTTCCTTCGTTGATCTGCCCATAGATTCTCGTTGTCTGCTTCTAGGGCCTCAAAACAGATGACTACTATCTTTGGAGCCATGCTGCTTGTGGTTGCAAGATTGTCGGCTCTGATACCAATGATACGATCCTCCTTGGATTGATTGGATCTGAGTAAATCCGGAGAGAAACAATTATATTGATTCTCAAAATCGGAACGATGTTGTAGGATAGAACATCAAGATGACAGTTCTATCGAAATACAAGAAAAAGAAGAGAGCAAGAAGAGTAAAAGGGGTGGGGAATGAATTCAAGAGGATTCTCCTGTCTCTCCTGGTTCCGACTGTTCTCCCGCTCCTCTGCTGTGCGAGGAGGATTCAAGAAGAGCGAGGTTTATTTATAGTCCTCACATGTGCTGTGCACGTGTCCCCTTCTTACGCCTTCTATATGTCAGTAATGGGGTCGTAACAGGTTGTTACTTGGACCATTCTCTAATTCTTTGATTAGAGAGTCCTGTATCTCTTGTGATTTATCTTTTTTATATTTCAAATTGGATTTTGAGGTCATAAACTACGAATTTTCTTTCCTGAGAATGGATGCAGGTTATGGGCTGCAAGTCATACAGTGAATTCGCAACTCGAACAAACATGGCAGCAAGTCCAGATGTGGTGATGTCTTTTCTTGTTGAATTGAGCGGGATTGTTAGGAAGAAGGCTGATGAGGTATAACATCTTCGGAAATGATTACATCTTTGTGCTTCTCTCCTATTGATGTCAATAGTTGTTATTCTCTTACATAAGCAATTCAAGACTATCAGAAACTTTAAGAGACAGAAGACTGGTGAAGCTTTTGGAGATCTAGAGCCATGGGATGAGTCCTACTACACAGGAATACTAAAATCATCTGTGCATGACCTTGACCATTCAGTACGTTTTGTAACATATATTTCATTGTTGGATCCTTCTAGATATCTATTTCGATTGCTACAACGGTTTCTCATAAGTTTGGGTATTTTATTTTATTACATCAATTCGCAGGTTGTAGCATCATACTTTCCTCTGTTACAATGCCTCTATGGTTTAAAGTCACTTGTTAAATCATTGTTTGGAGCCACATTTCATGATGTTCCTCTGGAACCAAGTGAATCATGGCACCCAAGTGTGCTTAAAATGTTACTACATCATCCCGATGAGGTAAGCTCTATTAGAGTCCATGGATTACTAAAATTTTCATTAGCATCTCTTTGCGTTATTCTAATAATAATAACTGAGTTATCGTTTTTTAGCTCTTAAGTGGACATTTAATTGTCCTCTTTGTCTTTCTTTTATCACCGTGATAGTCTCTGATTGTTGAGAGAAATATGTTAAAAGAATTTCCAAGCTCTTTATGAAACGTGCAAGTGCTTTAAACATTGCTGCTGAGTAGGTTTCTTGGCGAGAATGTACTTGACCTCAAGTGATGATGTACTAAAACTTCATGGTCTATTTATGAATTCTTCATAATACAAGAATTTCTATGCTTATAAGCAATTAATTAATTTTTAAGCTTTTCACTCGAGATTCAGAGCTTGTTTATTCGTGAGAATTATGTATTTGATCCAAATGATGAAAGATAAAGTTGGTCATTTTACGAATCAATCTAGGTTCAATAAATTCGTTGTCTTAAAAATTAAATTTCCTTGTCTATTTCAGGAAAATGTTTAAAGTAATCCTTGCATTTTATGTATGTTTAGATGATAATTACTATTTTCTATTTGCTTAAATTTGTGCTTGTGATTGATGTACATCATTGTCAATATGTCATGTTACACAAGGTTAACTGTCTCATTGTGGTTGGTCTTTCTTGTACGAGCAGGTCTGTTTTGAAGATTGTGACCCGATCAACTAATTGACAGTAAAACTCTTTTCAATGGAATTTTGTCTTTTGAAAACAGCATTGCCCGTGTTTACAACTCAGAGAGTGGGAGTCCTCTCTGAAATGAAAGCATTTTCTTCCTCTTAAGGAAAAAAGTATTTCCCATTTGTCACCTGTGAAGATACGTTACCAAGAAAAAAGTTAACAGAAATCAACATAGTTTCCAAGTCTCATATGATACTGTCACCGTAGGCTGGTGTTCACTTACCCAACTAACATTATTTATTATTTTTCAGTTCGCCAATAGTTTCCAAGTAAAACATTTTTGTCTCGTGTTCCCTGTTTTTAACCAGTATTCTTGTGTACACATTTATTGTTTCATATTAATTGGCTAACTTGTTCCCATACAAACAGGGAGATTTGGGTTTTTTGTATTTGGACCTCTACGCCAGGAAAGGCAAATATCCAGGCTGTGCTCATTTTGCAATTAAAGGGGGCCGCCGACTGTCTCCAAAAGAATATCAGTTACCCGTATGTCAATTTCCTATACGTGGGAAAAAATATTAAACATCTATATTTTGTTTTCTTTTATCTGTTGTCCCGTGTTGTGCAATGAAATCACATGTTTTTAGAGAAAATCGTATAAATCCTTATGCTTTTGCCCCCCGAAAGAGAAATGTTGAAATTCTTAATATTCTTGATCGTTGATGTAAGAACTTAATACATTCGAAAAGAAAAGCTGACATCATTAATGCCCCTGATCATTGTCGTAAGAATTCGGCGAATCATATGTTCATGCATCCAATTTATATGTTTTTCATGTAAGCAGATGCTTCTTGTTACACTTAATCAGCATCACATCACATATGCCGTGTAACTTCTTTGTGGAGTGATAACAGAAGATGTATCTGAGCACAGGAGAAACTGGTGCGAGGGTGGAAACTGTCTTTTCTCTGGGCTTTATTCTGCAATAAACGGTCTTTTAAAGATGTTTTATGCGGTCTTTATTTTCATCAGGCATTTCTCACCTGTTGAAATAATATTTGCACCTTCTATTATGCTTTGTATTAGCACATGGATGATTATTGCGTAAAGGATTTAAATTACCATCAATAATAAAAAAGGAATCTTTTTATTAGTTACTATCATGTGGCTCTGTGCCATGCTTGTCTAGCATGTTTCAAATTTTTCTTTTTTTCATTTTATCTTTGACCAAACTTTTCATGACATCTAAAATTACGTAGGTTGTTGCTCTTGTATGTAATTTCTCTGGTTCACCTGGATCATTAAATTCAAGGCTTAATCACGGAGAAGTGGAGACCCTTTTTCATGAGTTTGGTCATGCTCTTCATTCTTTGCTCTCTAGAACGGTATAAATGTGACAACTCTGTCTTCGTTCTTTACTCCCTGCGTTACAAGCATCTTTGTCAATTACTCTACATGGATATGGGTTCCTCAACCTTCTCGTTTTAATTCTTACAGGACTATCAGCATTTTTCTGGTACAAGAGTCGTTTTTGACTTTGCTGAAGCACCTGCGAATCTTTTTGAGTACGAACTGGGCTCTTTTTTCGTTGTTGTTATTTATGGCTTCTGGTATAAAAAAAGTAATACTGTAGTTAAAATGAAAGTTCACCCATGAAATGTCGGGGATTTATCTTCGATTTTCCGGAGACGAAAAATCAAGCAAATTTCAGACTCCAGGCATTCAGAACCCATTACACTAACTTGAGCATGATTGTAAAGTGCAGAGAAGTCAGACCCATTAACTTTCTGCAAGTCTTGCTTCAGTGGTGACTCTCACTTTCTGCATGTATTTCAAGACCGTGTACGGCTTGAAGGTTATTATTGTATACACTTTGAGAGATGAGAACCGTGTAGCAGAATTTTGTTGGCCTTTAGAACCATTTCACCAAATCCTTTGTCTCGTATTTGTCATCCAAAGGTGGTTGTGAGCCTCATAAGATCATCCATAACTTGGATCATGATGGAAGTATCAATTGCGACGGTTTAGATAGATTATGAGGCCGTCTTCCTTCCTATTTTAATGTTTTTTTTGAAGTATGAATGGCCTGAAGGTCTCTAGAACACAAATATTTTTGACAATTTCCTTTTTCGTGGAAGACATTCTGTCCTGGGAATTAACTATATTGAGGCCACCGGAAAGTTTTCTAGGAATGGCATTTTTTTGAAAGCCATTAATAGCCCTTTATTCGCAGGCCGCCCTTGGAACATTTTAGTGGAATATGAGCCTATCAGACGGCAGCAATGCTGGGAATCCAGTGATACCCTGAAAAATTCAATTGTCATCCCCCAACCACATCATGCTTTCTTTTGTGGTTTTATATATAGACATAATCGACGTCCTGATTTCATTGATCTTCTAGATACTATGCATGGGACCATCGAGTTCTAAAGACCTTCGCTAGGCACTACTCAACAGGCGAGGTGATACCTGAAAGACTGGTGGAAGCCCTGAACGATGCAAGGCGCATGTTTGCTGCAACCGAACTCCAACGGCAGGTATTTCCCTCTCATCGTTCGGATTTTCCTTTTCACCAAATTTCGTGCGTCCTTAAAAACCTGCCGGTTTGGGAAATTGGTTAGTGTAGATATTCTACGCTTTGATCGACCAAACGCTGTTCGGAGAGCAGCAGCCGACTTCCACGAGAGACACTGCTTCTGTCATCAATGATTTAAGAAGGCAGCATACGAGTTGGAATCATGTGGAGAGTACACATTGGCACGTCCGTTTTAGCCACCTCATAAACTATGGCGCCGGTGGGCATCTCAAGAGAAGACCCTTCTAATTTTTTTTTCTAAGTGTTCTCCATTTTAGGCGGCCATTTTGATGCTTTCTCGGACTGGGCTTGGTGTACGCAGGGTACTACAGCTATCTGTATGCAAAGTGCTTCGCCTCCAGCATTTGGAAGGAGGTTTGCTGTGAGGATCCGCTCTCTCCAGCGGCGGGATCTGTCATTAGAGCCAAGTTTCTGAAGCACGGCGGAGCCAGAGACCCCTCGGAGTTGTTGAAGGACCTGGCGGGGGAGGGCGTCATGAGACGCTGTGCAGGGGGCATCATCCCGGATGTGAGTGACCTCTGTGAAGAGATGAACTTGTGAAGGAGGGCCCTTCCTTGCCGCCTGCACCCCAGCCACCCAATCATTTTCCTTATTTCGAGTTTTCTCCACCTCTAGAGCTTCCTCCAAACGAACGAATTTGGGCAAGGGCCTTCCATCAAATTCGTTTATTTATTTAGACGTTTCCAACAATAAGGTTTCTTACTTTACATACGTACCTGATTTAATCCAGGTCTCTCTCTCTCTCTCTCTCTCTCTCCCCCACCAGGCCCTTGAATTCGATCTCACATCTACATGAGGTTCAAAGGTCTCACTACAATTCGAAGCTCATCAAAATCAAGTGCACCCGGAACGAAACACCTAATATGACCGATGACTATCTCAGAGAGTAGAAATCGTCTTTTATCCACACATTCATCCATCCTAACGACTAACGGCGGTGGAAACCTCAGGTTAAAACTTTCCAAGACTTGTCGTCTAATATGGCATAGTAAGATAAAACTAAAATCTGACCATTAGAGGAATGCATAATCATTGTACAGAGAACTAAAACGAGGTCATTGAAAGCACTTTAAAATCATTGATAGATCTTGAAAAGGAACTTCCTAGATCATTTAATGTGAGTCTATGGACTAAATTAAATTAGGAAAAATTGACAATCAGCCTCATGCATTCGAAGCCTATCTCGTTTTATCCCCAAAAATATCGGTGCAAGCCAAAGTAGCTAAAAGGAAGGAGACACACCATTAAATTCTTATAAGGTATTTTGTATGTCATTTACATTTTTGGTGTCAAAGCATTATTGTGCTTTTAACACAATTTGTTAGCTAGATGCATATACTTGCTTCATAACTGTCATTTGACCCAGTTGTTCCACAAAGTGAAAAATTGAGCACGTAAGGCAGCTTGTAGATGCGACAAAATATTGTTAAAAACCCTATTTTGTATAAATGGAAATGATAAAGCTTGAAAATCTGGTTTCAAATCTGATTACAATGAAAATACTGAATTAATTTAGAACTGTCTCTCGTGTGGAAATAAAATCCTGTTAATATTTTTTTCACAATCAGAATGTATTCTGGCCGGCTAGGGTTGGATTTTTAGTGGAACTCAATAGGCTGAAGCTCCAAAACTTCACAGGGTTCACGTATGATTGTATAGCAGCACCTATAGGTGATAGGCCCTTGGAAGCGTGGAGGCAGGCTGAGGCCGAAAAGCCAAAAGACTATTCGCATCTGTTGGTAGAGGGAACTAACTTCATGAGCTGACTCCCCACTTGAACCAATTTTCAGAAGTTCAACCAAAAAACATTTAAAAAGACCTGTTCTCCTCACCTTCCTATCTTGGTTCAGATTTGGGCCCAATCTGGAGGAAACCAAATGTTAGTCAAAGCCCAAATTATGAGTTTCCCGGTTTCAAGACTTGTTGAGGGGTACCCGCATGAAGGAATCCTGAATTGACATAATATGAACAGTAAATGTATAGATGTTCTCAGCGTTTGGATTTAGTTACTTTAAAATATCTCAATTTTGATAATTTTCAATATACTGCGGTTCTACGCATTGTTCTCTGTAATATCTCATATTATTTTCAGCTGTTTAGGAGCCAAATTTTGTTCCAACTAGGGCTCCAATATGGCTTCACCTTCAGTTTGTTTCCGACTGTGTATAGACATATATCTTCCTTTGTTCCCATCTCTTCTTGTGTGCAATTTTATTTCATCTGATTCAATTTTAAACCGGAAACCTCTGCCCTGATAGTCTAATTTGACATGTGAGACTCTAACTTCCGCCTTTCGCACCTGTTGTAGAAAACCTCAGGCTGCATCCATCTCCAAGTAAATGAAAGAAGCTAATCACTGTCTCTAAGCACTTCCTCCCACTTCTACGACCACTTTATATTACTCTTATACGTTCTGCATATCCTCATCTCTGCTTGGGTTTGTTTCCAAAATGTTTTGTCTAAATATTTCATCAAAGTTTGGTTTTCATTCACTTATCTATTTGTGGATTCATAAATTTACGCCAACTGCCTGTCGTGCATGATGAGCATTGAAGGACCCTGTCATCTAAATATGCCAGACTGTGCCGTGGATCAATTATAATCGTTTTAATGCACGAGATGACCAAAAAAAAGTATTTTTGAGAATACTGTTTAAGGTCTAATACGTGCGCGCTCTTCATGCTAGTCCGGAGGAGAAACCAGGAAAATGAAAAGCCAGTGTTTGAACATAAATCTCCATGAAAGTTCGAAAGAGATACCTTCTACTTTCCAAAATATATTATATTTTTCTTTAAACCGATAAGACCAATTCCGTAACTCACGCAAAATTTGATCACTAAGTAATTCTGGATACGCGCATCTCAATTCTTTGATAGATCCTTTCAACGAACTCCCTCTCCAGGTCCCAATAAAGAGGGACTGTGTGAATATTTGAAGCCATCAAGAGCCATTTCAAAGAGGAGATGCCCAACAATCTCTTCCCAGGAATGCCGAATCTGAAACGCTTTCTAATTTATTTATTTTTTAGAGTAAATCTGTGAATTTCCATGGCCATTACAGCACGACAAGGGGTACGCCGTGAGAATATTTTTCTCCAGATTGATGATTTTAACTTCTAAAATTAAAAATAAAATAAAAATTATGAGTTTCCTTGGATATCAACGCACCATAAAGGAAATCAACTTAATGAGATTTCAAGTGTGGGGCTTCATTATGATCACTCATACTTGTCGTTGAATGGGAACAAGATATCCAGAGTTCGGAATACAGAGGACTATTTCTGTCGATCATCAATAGTCCTCTTCTTGACACAGATTTGTACACAAACCTTGACACTGGCCGGTGGTGATCTTCCAAAAAGTGGTTTAAGGAGTCAGCAGTGTGTGGCATGCGAGGCTGTATGAAAGAGGGAAAAAGTTCTTGTTTTATGTTGAGCCTACAACGTTTACAGCGTTCAGGCAAAGAGGAGCTTGATTTTTAATTTCTATTATTTCATCGATTTTTTTTCCTGTCTTGTGAGAACAATTTCAGAACCGATTTCACCTTTATGATAGTATCCCAGGATCAAGCCAAGCTATGAAGTCATGAATCGGGCGGCGGCGGGATCATCTCCCCTCCGCCTCCGCCGTCGCCGGTTCGCAGTGGAAAAGGACGACGGCGGCCCAAGCAGAAAGAAAACGAGGAAGGACCTCAGTGGACGACTGCCGGCTACAGGTTACGTAACTTGCGGGGAGAAGGAAAGTAGTCAACGATCGATCAGTTCCCTGCAACCGCCGACTTTCCCATGGCCGCTGAGCCCCAATTGACGAAGTGGTTCTCTGTTGACCGGATCGCCTTCCCCGTGCTGACTCAGTCCTCTCTCTCTCTCTCTCTCTCTCTCTCTCTCTCTCTCTCTCTCTCGCTCGCTCGCTCGCTCGCTCGCTTGCTCTCCGTTGAGGGTAAAGATGACGAAAAAAGATGAGAATCTATTGGTCCTGATAGCTGGAATCAAAGAACTGCAGGGAATTTCATCTCGCGTGTGATTAAGAAATTATCTCCAACGGATATAAAAACGACAACTTTGACGGGAAACACCGGAGGGGAACTCCCTCTTGATCTTGACCGCGGGCGACAATCGCTTCATCGTTGCTCTCTGGCTAGGATTCGTGGGTTCTCGTCTGATTCCTTCATCATACAAGTTTTCGTGTGGAATCGTCGAATAAACGCCAAGATTCCACCGGCAGGCCGCGGTCAACGTCCGAGCGGGGGGGGATGTTAGAAGGATTCCTCCGCCTCTGTTTCTGAAGCCGAGCGTAGAATGGAGAAGACTTAGTGGAGCGCGCAGCCATGGCGTCCATGTCTACGGCAGGTACGAGCTTCTACGGGAACTGTGCCGTCCTTCCCTCATCCGATCTTGGAGGGGTCATCTTCTTCCTTTCCTTCCCTTTGATTCCTTCCTTCCGTTCAAACTTGAGGCTTCGGGATCTCTCTCTCTCTCCCTCGCTCCCTCGCCCTCGCTCCATGTTGTCAGTAGCGTCTGGAGCACGTCACCCAGCTGCAGACGAGGGAAGGAGGAGAGGTTGGAGGAATGGGGAAGAGATTCTCTGGAGAGGGGGCATTTGCATCGAGATGTCTCTTCCTCTCCTGGCTTATATGCCCTCCTCATGAGCTCCATCCTCACCTCCAAATCTCCTTCCGTCAAAGGAAAGTAATCGCAACATTTGGGCCTCTTGACTTCGTAAAATTTTATGAAGCTGGGTGATCCATAATTTTCAGACCTTTCCCCTTCCCCTATCTCCTCCCAATCCAACATGTGCTCTTCTAACCAGAATCGGCGAGCAGAGCTGGAACGAGCAACAGCTGGTCTAATATCTATCTTGGGCATCGCCGCAACGCAAGAAATTACGAACCCGGCTTCTGATGCCAAAAAATAATTACGAACCCGGATCGATCTCAAGACTTTGACAGGAATCAATCTGAAGCTGGCAAACGAATTGTTCTCTCTTTCTTTCTTTTCCTTCAGTCTCTACTTTTTCAACATCTTTCGTCAGCTCATAATCCTCCGGAAACGCACTCCAAGACTTTTTCAATTGAATTCGGAAACCTTTCATTTAATTATTTTCCTCCATGTCTCTATCTAACTGCGCAGTGAATCTACGGTGATTTCTCAGGAAAATAACAGCATCTTCTCGTCGGCCCGATGAGAGTGGGGGGAAATGGAAGAGGGCAACATGTTTTCTCCCTCGTTTCTGTCCGTGGCGGTCGCTGTGAACGGAAGCAAGAGCAGCAGAGACGTAGTCAAGTGGGCGCTGGAGAGGTTCGTTCCTGAAGGCAGGATCCTGTTCAAGCTCCTGCATGTCCGCACGAAGACCACGACGGCGTATAGCCCGAGTAATTTCTTCGGCTCTTCTCTTTCGATCTCTAAGGGCTCTAATGACCCCCTAGGCAGCAGCTCTTTGTTCTCATCCGGGATGATGAGTCGCGTCTGTCTTCCCGCTTCCGCAGCGCGAGAGGACGTCGGGGCGGTGGCGTACGGGAAAGAGGCGGAATGGAAGACGAAGCCAATGGTCCACGCTTACCAGCGGATGTGCGACGAGAGACAGGTGACCGCCCCGGCCCTCGAACGTGCTCACTGGTCGCGTTCAGTTATCCAGAGCTCAGGCACTGACTTCGTCCTCCGCGCAGGTCCAGATGGAGCTGGTGGACGTTGAGGCGAACGACGTGGCGGAAGCCATTGCGCAGGAGGTCACAAGGCGAGGGGTGGACAAGCTCGTTGTGGGGGCCTCTTCGAGCAGCATATTCTCAAGGTACTCTCGGCAAAATGCAGGTCACAGGCCCATTCCATTACTCAACTGCTCTCCGCCGCGTAAGAAAGCAGACGACAAGACAACTCAAGTTTTTGCGCTCAGCTTTCTCTCGATCGTTGATCAATCATTCTGTCTTCGTTTAATCACCACGATATTTGAGGGCCGTCGATGATGAAATCTTCCTCAGGAAGCTCAGAACAGGCGGAAGACTCTCCTCCAAGATCACAGACCAGGCCCCCAGTTTTTGCGAGGTGTATACCGTTTCAAAGGGAAGACTGTCGTCTCTTCGAGCTTCTTCTTCATCCAGCGAGGTCGGCAGCGGAAGCAGAAGAGACGACAGGAGCGTCTCGAGCGCTGACTCTAGGAACTTTTCTAGCGACGCATCGCTCTTCTCCCTGTCAGGTAACCAAGAAAGAAAGACCGAAGAGAGATGGAGAGAGAGAGAGAGAGAGAGAGAGGTCCGCTCTTGTGGCTCCCTCTCCAATCTCCGGGCGTAGCCGTTGAAGTCTCTCCCTCCCCCCCCTCTCTCTCTCTCTCTCTCTCTCACACACACACACACACACTCACTCTCTCTCACACTGTGCTGCTTGCTGCGTTGTCTGAAGAATGGACGGAGACAGACTCAGAGCCGCCGACGACCCTCGTCCGCTCTTACTGCCCGCTGGCGATGCAACGCGACCAGGCTCTCAAGGTCGTGAATCAGAGCCTCCACCGGAGCACACATCCATCACCAGGCTCACGGGCCCGCAGCCAAGATTCCAGCTTCCGCCGTTCATCCAGCCGCAGCAGGACCCCGCGGAGGGAGGACGCTGTGTCGCCTTCCGTCAGGCTACCATACTTGGAGGACGCCACCGCTGCTCCACCGGCCTCGGATGACGAGGTAGCGCGTCGCCATAAATGCTGAGAGATCTGCCGCGAAGTTTCTTTTGTAAGCTTGGATCTGATGGCTTTTGCCCAGGTTGTTGTGACCTTCGAGCTGGAAAGGCTGAGGATCGAGCTCGGGCATCTCCAGGAGATGTGTGACAAGGCTCAGACTGAGACGAGCAACGTATCCCGCGAGGTGAGTTCTCCAAAACGAGAGCACTCTCTATCCATCGCCCGGGGGCTTAATCCTGAGAACACCACCGTACTGCGTGCGGCAGCTGAGTGCACTGAGCCTGAGGCGCATGGAGGAGAAGGAAAAGCTACGGGAGATCAGCTCTCAGGAGGAAGAGGCAAGAAAGCTCATGAGAGAGTTGAAGCAGAAGCGCGAGGCGGCGGAGAGGGAGGCGAGATACGTGAGGGAGTGCGCGGAGAGAGAGGCGGTGCAGAGGAGGGACGCGGAGAACGACGCCGTCCGGGTCGCCGAAGAGAAGCAGCGGCTGGAGCAGCAGCTCCTCCTGGGCTCGGATTGGCGGTACAGACTCTTCGAGTGGGAGGAGGTGCTCGCCGCCACCTCCTCCCTCTCCGACGAGCGGAGGATAGGAAGCGGCGCGAACGGGACGGTTTACGTCGGAACCCTCCGCCACATGAAGGTCGCCGTCAAGGTTCTCCACAGCAACGAAACCCATCGGACCAAGCAGTTCAAGCAAGAGGTACTAGGAACGAACATCATCCGCTTCTTGCTTGCTTGCTAGATAGGGAGAGAGAGACTGAGAAGCTTGTTTTTCCCCTCACCTTGCAGCTCGAGGTACTCGGCACAATCCGCCACCCGCACCTGCTGCTGCTGCTCGGCGCTTGCCCGGACCAGGGCTGCCTCGTCTACGAGTACATGGAGAAGGGCAGCCTGGACGACAGACTCCAGCAGAGAAGGCAGGGGGAGCCCCCTCTCCGGTGGTCGGACCGCTTCAGAATAGCCTGGGAGGTAGCCTCGGCGCTCGTCTTCCTCCACAACGCGAGGCCGAAGCCGATCGTTCACCGGGACCTGAAGCCAGCGAATATCCTGCTGGATCGCAACCTCGTGAGCAAGATCGGCGACGTCGGGCTCTCCACGCTGCTCCCCTGGTCCTCCTCCTCCGGCGGGGCCTCAGTGCCGTGGAAGAAGACCGCCCCGGTCGGGACGCTCTGCTACATCGATCCCGAGTACCAGAGGTCCGGCGTGGTCTCGCTCAAGTCGGACGTGTACGCCCTCGGGGTGGTGCTCCTGCAGCTGGTCACGGGGAGGGCCCCCCTCGGGCTGTCCCCCGCCGTGGAGGCGGCAGTCGAGGAGGACCGCCTTGCGGAGGTCCTCGATCCGTCAGCCGGGAGGTGGCCCCCGGAGGATACCCGCGAGCTCGTCCTCATCGCCCTGCATTGCTCGAAACTGAAGCAGGCGGACAGGCCCGACCTACAGGGGCACGTTCTCCCTGTGCTCCAGAGACTCCTCAAGTCCTCGGTGGTCGACGACGACGCTCGCAACTCCCTCCTCCGCCGAGTCCCGTCTGCCACTCCTCCGAGCCACTTCTTCTGCCCCATCCTCAAGGTCAGTGAGAGCCGGTTGGTTGGTTGCTTCTTCTTCCGGGGATCGGATTTGATCTGATCTGATAGATCAAGGCTACCTCCTTCCACTTGCGAACCAGCTCACAAGTCGGTCGCTGACTCCCTCCAGCCGTTTGATTCCCGCAGGAAGTGATGGAGGACCCCTGCGTGGCCCCCGACGGGTACACCTACGACCGGCGGGCGATCGAGATCTGGCTAAGCATGAATCATAAGTCTCCAATGACCGACGCGCCGCTGCTCAGCAAGACCCTGATCCCCAACCACGCCATTCTGTCGGCCATAAACGAGTGGAAGTCCAGAGACGAGTAGCATCACCATCATCTCTGTCGAGGCGAACTTGAGGCAGGAGAATAAGAAAGCTCGCTCGCCGCCGCCGTCGTCATCTCGAGGCAGCTCCCCACTGTGTTCGCAAATTCCGTAAGAAGATCCCATCTTGCAACCAGTCAAACGAGTGACGAGCTCCGTAGATTTGGGTGGGCATGGGGAACTTATTTCTATCATAAATTACTGATTTTTTTCAAACGAAAATGTGTGGAAAAGCGATGAATTCGAAGACATGGCGGGCTTCCCCAGACGGTCCAGCAGCTAAAACTGCGTCAAATTCTATGAATCTGGGCATCTTGGATGAAATGATATGATAATGATGATGATGATGATGATGATGATGATGATGATGATGATGATGATGATGATGATGATGATTGATGGGAGAGTAAATGCCGCATCTCTCTCTCTCTCTCTCGCTCTCGGTTTCGTGCAAGACGGAATTGAGCTGTCCTTCGCGGGTGTCGGCTAGAGCTCCTCTCTGTGCAGTCGCACGGGTCAACGGAAAACGGGCATAAAGGTTTTTCATGGGGTAAAAAAGTAATCGCAAAGATTATCCGGCAGAGGTTAAATGAAGGTGAGGGTATAACATTTCGGCCAAAAACAAAAGCATCCCGTCTTTATGGGAACCCGTTAAACCTGCTTCGGCGGACAAAACTTTTTCTTGTTACTATATCGAATGGGGCGGTGGACTTCAAAGTTACTTGGCAAAGGCTCTGTGTGCCACGATGCCATCAGTCCGAGACACCACGTGGCGGAACCAGCGGCTGGGAACGGGATAACCCTTGCCGTCAGAACTAACGGCCCAGCGCCGTTGGGGAGGCACGCGCCCGCATCTCGAAAATGTTCCGACAGAATTCCGATCCCCTCCGTTCAGTCTTCACCGGGTCTCCGGGGAAAGCGGACCGAACGACGACAGCTCTCCCCGTTCGGGCGCGGGGTCTGCGGGCAGCTTTGACCGAGATTCACTTGCTCACGTGCACCCACGAGAAAGGGCCGTGATCCTACGTGGGAGATGCTCCCACGTGGCTCCATGATTGGGCCGCTGTCCTTTTTTCCTTTTTTAATCTCGGTGCCCATACTGGGGGCGACAACCTCTTCGCGGCCCACGTTCCAAATCGGCGGGCTTGTGGCTGCACCGGCACGTGCGAATCACATGAGATCATGATTTCCGGGGCCGTACGAACACGTGGGACAGCTGACACGCTGAGGGCTCCACGCCCAACTAATCATCCGTCTATGAACCCACAATCTTTCCTGACATCTCTTCCCATGTGAGAGATTATTCCCGGCCGGGCCCCACCAAACACCCGTGGGGCCCAGAATGAATCGTGGCACGCCCCCGGCGGTGGGTGTCCGGCGCGGAGGGAACAGCATACCGCGCACGAGGTATGGGACCCACAGAGATCGGGGCGCCGGGCCGCGCCCGCCGCAGCTTCGTCCCAAGTAACCGGCCCCCGAGAGACCAAGCCATCGGGGAGCGCTTGGGGGCGGGGCCAGAAAATTGCGGGCGTCGTCTATCGGCGCGTGTGGAGGGAACGGTTGGTGATGTAGTGTCGTG